AAATAAAAAATAAAAAAAATCTAAGAGTATAATCGTAAATTAACATATCCACAGTAGAAATTGATAATCAGAAACAAAGGGTGAGCAGTTTCTCAGAATCAATTTTTTTGAGTTAAAATAAGTTGTTAGAATCAGAAACTGTTTGAAATAAGTTTAACCATACAGTCCAAAATAGCTTTTCTAAAACTAGAAGTTATAAATTGACTAAAAAAAACCCAAACACAGTCCAAAATAGCTTTTCTAAAACTATAAGTTATAAATTGACTCAAAAAAATCCAAACAAACAACCCCATTAGCAAGTAAACTAACAAAAAGTGATAAAATTGTATAGTTTGGGATGTTCTTAAAAAGTATACTTTTTGACTTATTGGCTTATATGGGTTGAGTTTGGGTTGGGTTTGATGTGATGTATTAGAGAGGTGATATGATTTAAATAAGATGATGTAACTTAAATAGAATAGTGACTTTTTAACTTTTTGTATTATTTCGTAGATGCCAAACTTGACCTTTTTTGACACAATTTTATGGAGAGGGCGAGGTCCACGAGTTTGTGCTGGATATGAAGAAATAGCATAAGGTATAGGCTCTATTTGATTTTATTTTCAAAAACTGTTTTCTAATTTTTTATTTGAAATTGGATAATAGTTTCATAAAACAAATATTAAAATATATTTTTAAATTGGGGTATGAAGAAATAGCATGAGGCATAGGCCTATTTGGTTTTATTTTCAAAAACTGTTTTCTAATTTTTTATTTGAAAAATCGGATAATAGTTTGACAAAAACAAATATTAAAATATATTTTAAAATTGTAAAAATAATTTATACCCTTCTAAAAAATAAAACTACATAAAAATAATGAGTGGATTTTTCACTAAATTTATTTTTAATTTATTTTTTTTAAAAAAACAATTGGTTAGAACCAAGCTAAATAAAACACCATGTGGTACTCCAAGGCACCAAATAATTCGAGAGAGAGGTGGAGAGAACTGGACTATAAGTGGCCCTTTTTAGGGATGGCAATTTGAATCCAGTCCGACGGGGACCCGACCTCGATTTGAGTGGTTTTTTTTTCCCCAAAAAATACCCCCAACGAGATGTGGATGGTATTCAAAAATCAATCTTTGATCAATTTCAGGCCAAGGACGGAGATAAGTGTCCAAGCCCCGTCCCCGGCCCGGCCTCGTCTCTGTCCCCACCCCATTTTGTTCCATAAGTAAAATCACCATTTTACCCCTCTCTCTCTCTCTATATATATATATAAACCAAACCTTAAAGCATTACACAATCCCTCATACTCACACTCACACACATATACGCCTCTCCATCGACTCCCTCCATTCGCTATCCTTTTCTCCCTCCTCCCATTACCGTTGATCTGCAACAATCATCACTGTCGACTCCCTCCCTCCGCTGTCCTCATATCCCTCTTCTCATCACCGCTAATCTACAATGATCGAGCCAGAATTGAGATTTGCAATGATCTAAACTCAGATCTGTCAGATTTGTACTCAGATCTATTATCTCTCTCTCTTTCTGATCTAATCTGTGTGTAATGATTGTTGGTATTGTATTGTTGTTGATGACGATTGTTAGTATTGTTGTTGAAACAGATTTTTCTTTTCTTCAGATTATTATTATTTTTAATTTAAATCTGCATGATACTGAAAACAAATTTAAATTTAATTTAAATCTATATTGTTGAAAAAATAAATTTAATCTGTTTTAATTGTACACATTGATTTGTTGATGATGATGACACATACTAATATATATTGATTTGTTGATCTTGTGTTTAACAAAATTTAAAAAAAAAAAAAAAGCTTAGGGATTTTTCGGGGTCGGGAAAACTCGATCCCCGTTAGGGGATGTGGGCGGGGGGTGATGGGTTCCCCCGCTGGGGATCGAGGAAGGGAATGGGGATTTTTTAACCTTCGGGGACGAGGAGTGTAGTCCTCTTCCCCGCCCCGCCCCGCCCCGTTGCCATTCCTACCTCGTTTGACTTTTGTTTTTTAATCTCTAGATTCATTATAGTTTTTTATTTCTAAATTATTGTTAAATTATCTATGTAGTTCATAAACTATCGATTGAGTCTACTAAATTCATAAAGTATATGAATCAAAATTTATCCCTAAATTATCAATTAAATCTATAAAGTTCTTAAAATATTTAATTCAAACATATTTAGTCTCCAAAAGAATTATCAAATTTAAATATTTGCCCGTAAGTATTATAAATTAGTAAAAAATCCTAACTAATTAAATTTTATTACAAAAAATATAAATTTTTTATTTTGACCTTAAAAAGCATTTTTATTTCATTGTGTGTTTAAATTAGAGTTTTATTTCTTAGCATTACCAATAAAATTATATGAGTATTAGATATACTGAAAAAAGTAAAATTAGATAGTTTAATTAATAATATTTTGATACAAATAATAATAGAAAAATAATATATTAATTAAATTATATAAAAAACTTAGCAAAAAACTTAAAAATAATCCATTTTAAATTATTTATAACATATAATACTAGATAAATGTAAACACACGTAGCCATTTTAGAATATAAGTAAGAAAATACTATAAATAATTACTTTTACCCTTATAAATGAAGTTCACCGTAAGAGTTAACACCTACTTTTTAAAGACGAAATAAAAATTAAAGGTTTTTTTGAAATAAAATTTTAACTAGATATGGTCTTTTACTTATATATAATTCTCATGGGCTTATATTTTATTTTTGTACCATTTCCAAGGACTAAATAGGATTGATCTAAATTTTTTAGGGATTTAATAAATTCAATTAATAATTTAGAGGCTATTAATTTGTATACTTTAGGATTTAATAGACTCAATCAATTTTATAACATTTTTAGGGACTAAATATGTTTGATTTAAATATTTTAGGGATTTAATAAATTCAATTAATAATTTAGAGACTAAATAGACTTTAATCTATATACTTTAGGAATTTAATAGACTCAATCAATAATTTATAGGCTATTAATTTATATAATTTAGGGATTTAATAGACTCAATCAATTTTGTAACATTTATAGGGACTAAATAGGTTTGATTTAAATATTTTAGGAATTTAATAATTTCAATTAATCATTTAGAGATTAAATAGACTTTAATCTATATATTTTAAAATTTTAATAGGCTCAATCAATAATTTAAGGACTAAGTAGACAAATTGGCGATAGTTTAGAGGTATAAAATGTAATAAATCCTTAAATTTATTATTATTATTATTATATTTTGGTGAAAAGTAAAATATTAGTAAGTTAGTTCGAACTCCAAACCTTTTACTCCCTGCATCCTAAACACGACTACATGCCACTTGGGCACAAGGGCCCCAACCGTTAAGCTTATTATTTTTTCACTTAAGCGGTGCTAGGGTCCTCGGCAAATCAAGGCTGGAATGCCTTGATTTTGTTTTTTTGGGGGGTGTGAAATGGTGGTTATGTGTAGGGATGTATTAAAAAATTAGACATTCCGCATTAACTCAGTCTGTGTGGTTTAATAAGGTTAGTGAGTTGAGTTAGATTGGTTGGGTGATAAAATTGACTAATTAGTTAGACTGTTGTTTAAAATTTGTTAATTTTATATAGTTTTATACGAGTCCCCACTATATTTTTATTTTAAATCACGAAGACTCGAAAGAAATTGAACAGAAACTTGTACAAAACTATATAGAATTTATAAATTTTTACCAGCAGCTTAACTGATCAGTCAATTTTATCACCTAACCAATCTAACCCAACTCACTCACCTTATTAAGGGGTTGTTTGGGATAAACTAAATAAGTGTATTTTTTGACTTTTTTATGAAATATTGGTAAGGTATGGGTTGGATTTGAAGTGATGTGGTAGAAATGTGATATGACTTAAATAGGAGAGTGACTTTTTAACTTTTTTAAGTTATGCTAAACCAAACCTAAATCACGCAGGCTGAATTGGTACAAAATATCTAATTTTTTAACACACTCATACACATAACCACCCTTAAAAAAAAACAACAACCAAACCAACTTAACCCATAAATAGAAAAGAAAAAAAAATAACGGAACTGCTACGTAGCTCGAAACTGCCGAGCTCGAAATTGGCTCGAATCCAAAACGACGTCGTTTTGGAGATTTTTTTTTTTTTTTTTTTTTTTTTTTTTTTTTTTTATGTCTTCATCACATTCAGCTCCAGATCAAACAAAACATCAAACAAAACATCAATTTTCCCCCCCTTCATTTTCAGCTCCAGATCTAGAGAAAAAAAAAAAAAAAAACATCAATGTCTTCATCACATTCAGCTCCAGATCTAGAAAAAAAAAAAAACATCAATGTCAGCTCCAGATCAAACAAAACATCAAACAAAACATCAATTTTTTTTCCTTCTTCATTTTCAGCTCCAGATCTAAAAAAAAAAAAAAATCATCAATGTCTTCATCACATTCAGCTCCAGATCAAACAAAACATCAAACAAAACATCAATTTTCCCCCCCTTCATTTTCAGCTCCAGATCTAGAAAAAAAAAAATCATCAATGTTTTCGTCACACAGCACATCTTCATAATCAATATCTTCATCAACACAGCACATCTTCATTATCAACATCTTCATCATCAACATCCCCAGATCCAGGAAAAAAAGCCGCCCCTTCTCTCTTCCTCTTCTCTCCACCGATCGCCTCCTCTCTTAATCTTCTTTTCTTCTTCTTCCTCTTCTTTTCTCTCTCTTTTCTCTATCTCGCCTCTGTCTATTATTGAAAAGCAAGGCCTCTGTCTGCTATTGAAGCAAGAGAAGGAAAAGAATTAAAAATAAATAAATAAATTCGAGCCAGTTTTCGAGCCAAGCATTCAAGCTACGAATCTTTATCCAAAAAATAATTTGAGGCATTCGAGCCTCGATTTGTCGAGCCCCAAGCAGTAGCGTATTCACTTATATTTTAGCAAGAAGCCCACCTAGAAAAAGCCCAGCCCAGGTCAATCTATTCACATGTGAGTGGTTGAACCAAATTTGTGTGCTCCCGTAAACATCCCCAATTCCTTTTTCCCTCTCTCAAAATCAAAAACCCTAAACCCTCTCTCTCTCTCACAAAAACCCTAATCACCCCCCACTCTCTCTCTAACTTTGAATCACTGAGATTACCGAAAATGTCCCAAGCTCTGGACATGTCGCTGGATGATATCATAAGAAATAACAAGAAATCCGGAGGATCCAATGGTAATTTCAGGGGTAGAGGCCGAGGCCGAGGTTTTGTTTCAGGTCCAGGTCCAGCTCGTCGCTTCCCCAACCGCGCTCCTACGAGAACGACGCCATATTTGATCCCTCAGGTGATCTTCTTTTCTCCATGCTTTGCTAGATCTTAGGGTTTATGCATATATATATATATATATATTGGTGTATACAGAGAATTCTTAGAGAAATCTGATTTGTGATTCAGATGGTTCAAGTGCAGCAAATGTTGGCGATGGGAGGGTCGGGATCTGAATCAGCGACGAAGCTGTACGTTTCCAACTTGGATTATGGTGTTTCTAATGATGACTTAAAGGTATTTGCTTTTGTGTTTTTATAATATATATATACTAGTGTATGCCGGTGCCTTCAGGCACTGTGTTAAACAAGTGAACAAAAAAGAGAATACAAAATTAAATAAATAGGGAGGAAAATAAAAAGGGGGAAAAATCAAAAAATAAAAAGAAAAGGAGGAAGGTGGGATTCATGGGATTATGGGAGAGTGAAGGAAAAAGTAAGAGAGAGAAGCGGGAAAGTAGAAAATGTATGCGGAGTATACATCACAGCCATTGTTTTGTAGTTTGAACATATCTGAACTGGCCAAATGTCCTAATATGACAAAAATATGTTAAAGATTCAAAAACCCTCATACTTTATTATATAGATATATAATGCAAATTGTCTATCACTTGAAAATATATATGTGTAAAACTTGTACATAAAATGTGGCTGCATTGTAGATCTATCACTTCAAAGTACAAATTCACCAAGATGATTGTTAATAATGAAAATGCCATCATGCTTGTGGCAGATTCTATATGACCCTTTTGTGTGTGTGTGTGTGTGTGTGTGTTAGCTAGGTGGATTGCTACAAATAGCTTTTTCCTTGTTTTTGTGTTCCGGGTTTTCATTGATATCTCATGGCATGCATAAATTTTCACATCCACTAGTAGCTTCGATAGTGAAGGGATCCATGTGAAGGCCAACGGGGCAAATAGAAAAAATTGGAATAGTAGAACTGTGATTGAGATGGTAAAATTGTATAACATATTACTTGTCATTTTTAAAAAGGAATCAGGACATATTTAAGTGGCAAAAGAGAGGGGAATATAGGAAGTTCAGTAGAGGGAAGTTTGTCATGCAGAGAAAAGATTCCTTTGTGGTTATGTTTTATTAAATATGTTTAATCAAGTGTATTTGAATTTGAATGTTAAACATTTTCTCTATGGGCTGTCAAGGGTCGAGGACAGTGACCGAATACATCAGTTTTGTTTAATAAGGATAATGGATGTTTGGGACAGGGACGGGCTTTGGTCAATTGTAGGGGTGGGCGTGGATCGGTTGCGGTCACGGAACTTTCAATCCGTCATCTGTCCGCTAGATTGGCGGATTGGAGAAAATCAATCCGCATCTGTCCGCTAATCCGATGGATGTAGATTAAGAGAATTAGTGGATGAATGCGAATCGGTTTGGCGGTTTAAAATTTTATAAATTTTCAACATAATTCAACTTGTGCACTTTCTCAAAAAAAAAAATTACAGTCAATGACTTAACAGAGTATTACAATTACTGCATGCCTCATCCAAAGAAAGAAAGTTTAAAACTTTACTCACATATTACAATTATAGCATGTCTCATTCACATAAAGTATTATAATCTATGGTTCTTAAAATATAAAAATAATTCAAACTATTAAAACCATGAACAGAGCAGTAGTAGAGATTGTATGCCTTTGTATTGTTACATTTATATCTGTTTTTGAAAACAAAAAACAACTAGCATATATAATCTTATTTATTTATTATTTTTAGAGTTAGATTTAAAAACTAAAATAGATAGATAAATAATACATATATTTTTTTTAATTCAAAAAATATATTTAAGTTAAAAACTTCTTTTCAACATAATATCAACAGAATATTTAAACTATTTTTCAATTGAAAACACAAATAGAATATATAAACAAATTGAAAATACAAAGTCTTATAAATTATTAGGGATGTTCAGCGGTTTGGCGATTCGGTTGCGGCCATATGAACCTCAAATCCGCCATCCGTCCAAAACTAGGCGGATTGGAAAAAAATCAATCCGCAACCGTCCATTCGTCATCACGCAGCGGATCGATTCGGTTCGATCGGTTTAGATGGATCGGTATATCCGCTGCTCATCCCTAGTCAATTGTAACCATTAGCCAAGGTGGGAATTAACTGCGAGTCATTTTTCATTCTTTTGTGAAAATGCTGGCTTTTAGGTTTGTAGTTTGTGTGGCAGCTTAGTGTCGACTTTTCTCATTTGTTGTATGATTGCATGCATCTAAAACACGAGGAGCTTTTTAAAATTTTCCTATTGGAGGAAATTTGTGATTATTGTGGTGTTCCCTAATGTTCTACTACTAGTATGATTCTGCTTTGAGATGCAGAGATTATTTGTTCACTGTCTGCTAGTGTTCATATTTTTTCATTTATTTGTAACTAGTGTATCTCGTGCTTGAAGGCACGAAGTAAATAAAAATAAAAGAACAAAAAGGAGAAAACAAAATAAATAAATAAACAGGGTGGAAAATAAAAAAAGAAAAAGAAAAAGAGAAAGGTGGGATCATGGGATCATTTATGGGATTATTTATGGGATCGTGGGAGGGTGGGTGAGAAAAAGAAAAATTAAGAGAGAAAAGTAGGAAAGTAGAAAATGTACACGTACGGTACATCACAGCCATTATTTTGTAGTTTGAATAAATCTAAGCCGTTCAAATGTCCTAATAGGACAAAAATATGTTAAAGATTCAAAAACCCTTCTGCTATATTATATAGATATAGATTTGTACTCTTTAAGGCTATGTTTGGATGGCAAAAATCTTGAGGGGTCGGTGCTTGGTGTGTTACAAAGTTGGGGTGGGGAAGAGGCGTTGAAAGGCCTGGGTACTTGCTTCCCATTGTTTGCTTTAGTTGGTGCGGTTGTAGCGGAATAGGTGTGTTTTTCAGGATGAGTGCCGTTCTATATCATGGTTAGAAAACCGGTTGTTGATGGTGTTGCATAGTTGCGTTACGGGTTCGATCGATCCAAATGTTTTGGTTTTTGTAGATTTGGTGGATGATTTGATTAGTTAGTTTTGTTTGGATCTTTGTGGGCTGTTTTTGTATTCTTTTCATCGTCTTGATGCCTTTCTAATAAAGTTGTTCATTTATTTATCAAAAAAAAAAAATCTCGAGGGGTAAATGAGAATCTCATTATTAATAATTAATAATAAAATTCATGTGTCAATGCTATGCAAGTGTCTGGATTCGTTAAAAATTCTTTATGGGAATTTAATTAAATTTTAAATATTGGGTTGTGTGCTCCAAATTGTTTTTAATCCTTAAATGGTTAACATTCCTCCAGGGATGTGAGATTCCCATGGGAGAGTTGGGAAATCAAATTGCTACTGAGTTTGGGAAAACGATTCCTGCTTGAGCAGGTAATTAGGAATCACCTTCTGATTCTAATCTATTCCAAACACTGAAAACATAGATACCCAAAATCACATTCTCATTTCCCCTCAAGATTCCTGCCATCTAAACTGATCATTAAGGTGTTTGATCCCTTGAGCGACTAGTTTGCTTTATGTAAATGTCCATGCATATGCTTTTTTCTGCTTGTTTTCTGATAGGAGTTCAGCCTGATAATTCATCATTGCATGTTTCCTGTTGAGATATCATTCCAAAGTAAAATACAGAAAATTAATCTTAAATAAAGTTTTGCTGTAAATGCAGTATTACAAAGATTTTCAGAGTACAATATCTGATATGCATATGGAATATAAACAAATGTGTTAACTTAACAATGTTTTGATTTCTCATATCAGACTGTTTTGATAACATTCATATGTCTCCTTGCAGGTGTTATTCTCTGAGGTTGGTGAAGTGAAGCGACACTCAATCCACTATGATCGGAGCGGGAGATCAAAGGTATATTGACAGGCTCAGACTACTCAGGTCACTTCGAAGAATTTATTGTATCTACTAATGGCTTAGGAAGAATGTTTTTCTTAGGGAACTGCCGAAGTTGTTTTTACACGTCAATCAGATGCTTTAACGGCCGTTGAGAGATACAACAATGTACAGCTTGATGGGAAACCAATGAAAATTGAGTTGGTTGGAGTCAATATTGTTACTCCTCCTGCGCCTCCAACTACCAATGGCATATTAGGAAATCCAAGTGGCAATTTTAGAAGGTATGGACTTTCTGATCGTTCTGTATGTGAAAAAAAAAATATTCAAAATTCAGAGTACTTACTGTATGCTTATTGGTTACTTAAAAAAGCATCATGTGCCTTCCCATCTCTGTTAAAGATTCTTCTAAACGGGGAGAAATCAGTGGCTTGTTTAGAACGATGACTGGTAAGTAATTTTGATGTTTGTGCAGCACCCTGCGTGTATCATTGTTTTTGTGTTGTACTCGCCTGTATATGTTATAGCAGCCGAAAGATATGCCTATTTGTGGTCTAATGCTTCATCCACTGTAGTTTCTTGTAGCATCCCGATTAGCTTTGTTTTTTATTGTGTTGTTTTGACTGTAGGCAAGAAAGGGTTGCAGGTAGGGGATGGGACCGTCGAGGTGGTGGCGGCGGCGGCCGAGGATTTGGGAGGGGCCGTGGGAGAGGCAGAGGCCATGGTGAGAAGGTGTCTGCTGAAGCTCTTGATGCGGATTTGGAGAAGTATCATATAGAAGCTATGCAAATAAATTGAGTAGTATCTACTGTGTAATCCATCCCTTTTAGGTTTTCCCCGATATGATTACTTTTATGCTGTGTTTGGTTGGGAGATTTGGGGAGGGATTTGGAAAGGGAAAGGGAAAAAGTGTGTGAAACTATGTGAAATTTAAGTATATTTTATTCACATTTCACCTACCTTTTTCATTTTCTTTTTCAAATCCCACCTCAAATCTCCCAACCAAACACAGCATTATGATGTCTTTTGTGCAAGTATGCTTGTCATTACACCATTAATGCTACTTGAAACATCACTAACTGCATACAGGTAGATTGATATATGGAACATAATAGTTTAGTTGTCATTTTTTTTTTAAAATTTTTTTTTATGGTGGCTCACTTTTGTCTGCTCTGCTGATTTTGATGCTATGGAAGCTTGAGCTGAGTTCTTTCTGTGTTTGACCTGAATTGGTGATGTGTCGGCTAAAAGATATTTCTGGTAAACATGTATAAAGTGACAGAGATGCATATGTATTCTATACATTGCCTGACTGGTGAACTATTGGTAGTTTTCGTGCTGTGTTAATTCTAAGGAACTGCAACAAAAGATCTTTGACAATTCTATGCTAAAGTCTATAGATGTAGCTATATTACAGTTATAGTTGATATTGGAAACTTGGCTAGTAATTTCTTGTATTGTAAGACATGGTATGAGGACCCTCCCCTCTCATCTCACCGGATGGTATCATGGTATGAATGTTTATTGTTAGAGAGGACCCTCCCCTCTCATAATCTTGAGGCATTTCCATTTTCCTGTTCTTTTTTTTGTCCCCTCTATATATTTTTCTTTTGCACATGCAGTCAGTAAAGTTTTTTTCTTAATATCTTGCCTTGAGCTGCCAGGTCTTCACTAATTTTGGGTTGAAATGTAGTTGATAATTCCTTTGACGAGAACATTTTTAAATGGTATAATAACTAGATTTCTCTAAAGCCTTGCTAGTTTCACTCAAATCTCCCAACCAAACACAGCATTATGATGTCTTTTGTGCAAGTATGCTTGTCATTACACCATTAATGCTACTTGAAACATCACTAACTGCATACAGGTAGATTGATATATGGAACATAATAGTTTAGTTGTCATTTTTTTTTTAAAATTTTTTTTTATGGTGGCTCACTTTTGTCTGCTCTGCTGATTTTGATGCTATGGAAGCTTGAGCTGAGTTCTTTCTGTGTTTGACCTGAATTGGTGATGTGTCGGCTAAAAGATATTTCTGGTAAACATGTATAAAGTGACAGAGATGCATATGTATTCTATACATTGCCTGACTGGTGAACTATTGGTAGTTTTCGTGCTGTGTTAATTCTAAGGAACTGCAACAAAAGATCTTTGACAATTTTATGCTAAAGTCTATAGATGTAGCTATATTACAGTTATAGTTGATATTGGAAACTTGGCTAGTAATTTCTTGTATTGTAAGACATGGTACGAGGACCCTCCCCTCTCATCTCACCGGATGGTATCATGGTATGAATGTTTATTGTTAGAGAGGACCCTCCCCTCTCATAATCTTGAGGCATTTCCATTTTCCTGTTCTTTTTTTTGTCCCCTCTATATATTTTTCTTTTGCACATGCAGTCAGTAAAGTTTTTTTCTTAATATCTTGCCTTGAGCTGCCAGGTCTTCACTAATTTTGGGTTGAAATGTAGTTGATAATTCCTTTGACGAGAACATTTTTAAATGGTATAATAACTAGATTTCTCTAAAGCCTTGCTAGTTTCATAAATGTTGATGTATTAGTTTCATCGCACAACTTGGAATTTGAACTTACAGAGGTACTAAAAACTACTTGTTCCATTGTCATCTGCATTTCTCAAGAGTGAACATTATAAAAAAATCTTCATAATAATACTTACATCATGCGAGTATTGTTTATAATTTTTAGTATTTTTTATTTTGGAATCCCTGGCCTCAACTATATTTCAAAAAAATTTAAAAACTACACATGAAAATTTGTTTGACATTTTTCTTTTTCATTTGAAAAAATATGTAAACAAACAATTCAAAAAAAATCTTATAAAAAGAAAATTTAATTTGTTTATAAATGTTTCTTTTCCACCTTCAGCCGCCTCCTGTTTTCATATAACATCTTCAATATTTTCAGTAAACCAAAAATAATGAACTGCAAGCATTACCATCAACTGCTACCTTAGTTCCCAGTTTTGATTGAATAAAAAACACTTGAATAAACAGTAAGATGAGAGAACGCAGGTAGAAAGAAAAAAAATTAATGGCCCGTCGACAACAGTAATCAATTCTCAGTGGCACCTAGTGCCATTTGATTCTCTCCCAAGAATTCACTTATGTTGTGTTTGGTTGAGGGATTTGAGGAGGGATTTGGAAAGGAATGCAAGCATTACCATCAACTGCTACCTTAGTTCCCAGTTTTGATTGAATAAAAAACACTTGAATAAACAGTAAGATGAGAGAACGCAGGTAGAAAGAAAAAAAATTAATGGCCCGTCGACAACAGTAATCAATTCTCAGTGGCACCTAGTGCCATTTGATTCTCTTCCAAGAATTCACTTATGTTGTGTTTGGTTGAGGGATTTGAGAAGGGATTTGGAAAGGGAAATGGAAAAGGTAAGTGAAATATGAATAAAACATGCCTAAATTTCACCTAGTTTCACACATCTTTTCCCTTTCCCTTTCCAAATCCCTCTCCAAATCCTCCAACCAAACACACCATTAAAATGATCACATGTATATTGACTAATCAATGCTGCCATAAAATTGAAAATCTGTGAAACCACAGCTTGCAGAAAAAAAAAAAATAATAATATATCAACAAAATTCAATTCCAATTAATCAAATATCATGAAACTGAAAAATCTGTATATCCTCTACTCAGTTGCATCTCTCCAACAGGCAAAGAAAAAAATTACAAAGAGCTAAATACAAAACTTTGCTTTCAAAAAATAATAACTTTTGATAGTTAGACACTGACAAAATTTCTCAATGGCTATTTTACAACATTCACAATATGATGAAAGCGGAGAAGAATAAAAGACAAGAAGTCACAAATGCATACCAGGCACCGCTTTATCAATGCCCCTAAAATGCCCCAAAATGGATTGAAGAATCTTGCGATCCAATCTTAACCCTACAGCATCTTCATTGCTTGTCCACTAGAAAGTTAACAAATTAAAGGCCAAGAAGAATTCTCATGTAGCACAGTGGATTCTTCCAATCTTTCTCATCATGTACACTGGTGACTGCTTTCACATTAAAAACAAGAATTTTTTTTTTATACAAACAAGACATTCACATAGCTGCATAATATATAGTTTGTACAGCTAGTCAACCTTGACAACATTTTTAGCTTACAATGACATGATTACAACACTATTCTCCATAACATAAATAACTATGCCTTCTTTTTCTTTTCTTTTTTTCTTTTTTGTTGCAGAAATGCATGAAAAAGGTTTCAAGAAAATATCTTCTAACGAGGAGAATATCAAAACATTTGACTTAATCTAATCTGCAAAGACAGTAATTCTTAAAATTGTATCATAAACGATCTAAAATTCCATTAATTAACAAAGGCAAATGCTAACAAGTGCCAATGTGATGAAAACGTGTTTTGAAATCAATAAAAAGTGCTTGAATCTTGTGACGAGCGTCTGTCAGGATCTACCCACTTGTTGTCTTTTTCTTGTGCCCTAGGGGCACTTGTTAGCAAGACCCATTGAAAAAAAAGGAACGGGTACTAACTATAAACTTTATTCATACAGAGAGGGTGCTAGAGAACCTATGAACAATACCTGAAGATGGAGAAATTCCCAATAAGCCTCTGCTAGCTTTAATTGAACATCAAGCTCCACAAATTTCAGCACACAGAAAGTCCCTGGTCCATTCCTCATGTAAATTCGGTTGTGTTATGAGAAATGGACACTAATGCAGCTCCCACAGACAGGCCTACCTCGTGCTCTTTGCCTGTCCCAATAAATACTTCTTGTGTATCAATTTCTACACCATTAGATGAATGTATAAAAGTTCAGAGCATCTGTCAGTGTGTCACACACTTCAGCCAAGGAATGCTGGGTGCTAAAATACAGTGAGAATCAGAAGTGATGTTCACAAGTCTCCAGGTAAGGCAAAATATCCCTCCAGAAAATAGTCTTAAGAGTACAGCCCAGCTCGAAGATCATTCGTTTGACAAATGAAGTATGCCACGCATCTGAAGATATGGATTCTCCAATAGCTTTTCATTGTTGCTCTGCACAGCAGGAACAGCTAGCCAAATGTCATTACATGTAATTCTGCTATGCAATAACAGCACTAATACCAAGATACAGGATGAGCCCAATAACATTCACCAAAAAAATAAATAATAATAATAATAATAATAAAAATAAAAATATATTGGACCATGATAAGGAAAAAGGTAATTGCTGCCTTAGCTACCAGTAATCTACGTGTTGGAGCACCATACCACCAATTTTCTTAACAGTTAAAAAAATATCCATCAATCTGATGACCACCAGTTTGTTGACTGTTATGCTTATTTGGACTCTTCTATTATTCTTGTAGTAGACGCTAACAGGTTTCATAGATGACATGAAGTAGCTCAGCAAAAATTAAAAGATGGTTGGCATCAAAGTGCATTAGACTAAGGAATGTTAGTTTCAAATTTTTATTTATTTTTTTGATCAGCAACAGAAAGGTTAAATTTTATAAAGGCTCATGGCCAAAAAGAAGAGAGGATAAGGCATTCTCAACAAGAAAGAAGAAAGAATAAGACAACCAATAATAAAAAAAAAGGAATGTTAGTTTCAACTTTCTATCACTTGGTTCAAATAGTAAAAGATCAGAGAATAACAAAGAGGTTCCTGTTGTGTTCCAAGCATCAACAGTACCTATTGAAATTAGTACTATCCCACTAAGCAACGAGAACAAAGGGCCAGTTGTGATGACTCTAGCATTATGACAGCTCATGCCTAGACCTAAGTTCCAAGGATTAAGAAACTCAGAAGCTGAATGTTATGCCCACTAGTGTGGACACTGGTCTAGCAAAATAACCAAGAAAGGGTCTGAAACAAGACTATTGTGTCGTTTAAGGTATGTGCTCATTGCAACTACAAGGAACAGTCATAATTTGCTCACACTGTCAAGTTCAAACCCAAAAAAAACTATACCATGCAGCCATATACTAACAGGGTGGTACCTGCAAACTATTGATTTGCTCATGCACTAGCCTTGTCTTGAGACCATGACTCATAATTATTAAGTATAGTTTTCATTTAAAAAAGGGGAAAAAAAAATCAAATTTGTTTTAGCACTGCCAGTGCTTCAGGATGCAACATATTTCTTCAATCAAAACTAGGGTCGCACCTGCTGAGCTCTGTGAACGAGATTTTGAAGCATTCGCTGGTAATTTTCAGGTTCTTCCGTCATCATTCTCTACAAATCCAAACTTCAGATCAGTTTGTGCTGACATGAAAATAAGTATATGATTTACTTTGGTTGTGGAAAAGCTTAATCTCACCTTCAAAAGAAAAGTAGAGGAATAATATGCCACCCTTGAGTCTGTATCATCCAACAGCTCCCTGCCAAAGACCCAAGGTGCGAAGTTATTTGGCAATTCTCTATAAAGAAAGGTTACCCAATGGACAAAGAGCATTGAATTGCAATATTACCTAAAGAATTCCTCTCCACCAACTTCTTGAAAAGCAGCAGGATCTGCAGTGCATTTTCCAATTAGAAGTAAAAGAAGGGTAGCCCGAATGTCTGACGTGGCACCGGGTATATTTCCTCTTCCTTTGCTGCCAACAGAGACACCCAGTGCAATATTGTCTGTGGCTGCTCCAGCAAGTTGAATCAATGGCCAATAAAACAAAGCAGCAGGAACGCGTGCAACCAACTGCATGGGCACAATGGCCTGTCCACGGAGAAGTAATGCAGCCATGGAAGCAGTCTCGCAAATTTGACCATCATCATTGAGAGCACATTTGCTCTTGATATCATCCATGGATTCATCCCAGGAGAAATTCTCTTGTTGATGGAGAAGCTCTCCTGCATCAGCCTTTTTACTCCCATCCATTCGCCTAAAGACCTTAATGTCATGCATTGTGTCTCTAAATGTCATTTCTGTCGCTGGGAGAACTTTCAGGCACAATTGAGAAAATAGAATGTCACACATCTGTTTAGAAGCAGCAGAGAGATGGAATGTGTCAGTTCAAGTAATGCCTCCTAACAAATGCTATGTTAGAAGCAGATATGTAGAATTACTACAACCAACCAAAAACCTCGATACTCATATTATGCTTGAGTGAAAACCAAGATTTGTTTGCATCATATAAACCATCCTTGGTTCCCTTTAATTTCTAGCATGTTAACAACATCAACTCTTTCTCAAAATCAAGTATAGTATCTAAGGTTCATCGTTATAAAGCCAATGGGTTTAATGAATGACAGTACCAAGGGTTATATTAACACAAAAAGAATTAAGGGAACTCGTCAACAAGAAAAATCCTTGCATGCCTTGTAATGAATTTGGAATGACTGAAATATGAAGATATTAAGCAGATAAGCAACATTTACCACTTAGTGGTAGGAAAGATCAAACAAATTTCTTTATCAGTCTGAGGAGAATGGTTCACCAAAAATGACAAGTGACATGAAAGATCGACAATAAGGTCACCTAAATGAGAAAATTTGGTCAATTCATGTCCTTTAAAATCATGTTAACCCTCAACCCAAAAACAAACAATAAATGAAATAAAATCAAGTTATTCCAAAGTGCAGACAGCCTTTGTAGTCTTACCAAAAAGGTGTCTAGGTTCTAAAAAGAATACCTTCAAAATATTTATACGGTCTGTTTCATTTATCTGAGCCACCAAGGACAAAGCACTGCTCATAATGTCTATCACTGCATTTGCTTTCTCAAGACGACTGCTGTCTTGTAGGTCTCCAGCAGCTTCACTACCACTAGAATGCCGTAGTTCGTTCTCATCTAACAAAAATTTGCATCGCATAAGAAGCCTATCTAGAACAAATAGGAAGCCCCACCTGATGATGCTATTTTTTGACTTCAGAAGCCCACACATAAGCCAAATTGGTAAAGGAACATCTGAATCAGCTGAATAATCATTAACTCCAGTAATGGAAATTTTCTGCTGCAAGTTTCTGATATTTGAACATATACTTGAATCCCTTTCCTCGCTAATATCTGCCATAAGCAAATCCCCCAACCACACATACCCATTCTGACGACAAACCAGTCTTTCTGAATGAAGAAGAGAATGCAAAGTTGCCCACGAGAGCTTCACTTTCATACCAGCAGTGTGTCCCAAAACTCCACCCTTGATGCTTTCCATAGACTTACAAGATTTAGTTATCTGTATCAGCTGGGCAAATTCTTTGTCTAAATGAGTAAATGAACTTATGAACGTATCAAGTTTCTCCGTAATCTTCTCCAAGAGCTGCAAAAATATAATGAATTTCAGAGTGCAAAAAGATCACAAGAAAGTACAAAAGACTGAATTCCAGAATAAATTGCATTCAAGTCTACAAAACTGATTTCAATTTTCAAAAAAAGTAAAAACAACAACAAAACTAATCAACCCACTTTTGGAAACTACTACTGCAAAACCTTATCAGGAAAAGCAAAACAACAAACAAATTAACATGAAAATCGTTAAAAAACAAGAGATAGAATTTCATATAAATGTCCTTCAGTTTTTTCTTTCCATGGTTTGAGTGAATAAACCAGAATACATGAGCAAAAGAAAGGGACAAATGGCAAGATTGCAAACAAAAAAAAAAATAATAAAAAAATAAATTGAAATCCATTATACCACAGTTCTTTTCAAGTATAAAGTCAGATATGATCTAATACATATCATTGGGGTGGTTGTTCATAGTGAAATCATTCACAAGAAAGACAAGGTGAAAAGATTATGCATACCTTTGTATTGGAACTTCAGAGACAAAAAAGATTATAAAAAGCACTAAATATATATATATATATATATAAATGTTCTGTAACTATTTTCCTAACGAATATGTTATCACAGTAAGGCAATTGTTACTTGGACGTTGGCAAAGTTGGACACTCAGTTTTCACAAATCCCAAGCTTGATAGAATTATAAGACTTCATGATTTCTCAGTTTTTGCAAAACCCCAAGCTGAATGGAACTACAACACTTAAAAGCTTGCATGAGCGTGCATGAAAGTTATAAAATTACGGTATTTAGTCGATCACTGTTAGGATATGTAGACAATGCAGAAGCAATTGATCTTCTCAAAAGCTCCCCAATTCCTTCCACACCAAGCTTAACAGAAATAAAAAAGGCATCAGGTGCGTCTGCAAGCATGAGCAAAGTAGCAATAGGTTGAATCTCATCATCACTATATTCCGATACTCCAGCTGCTGTGCATGTCTCATTTATTAGATGCAAAACATAGTCGAAAAGCACCAAATATAGATTTCTTCTTTCTTCCCTGGAGTTCGAGAGCACCAACTGCATTGTAGAAATCAGAAAATAAGAGACTTAAATTGTTTTGAATGAGTTTCAAAGACTGAATTAAACAGACCTTTGTACATAACATAAGTATCTAATTTTATTTTAGAAAGGAAGCTCACAATATTTTCAAGGAACTGGAATTGCTTCATAGATCTCTAAATCTAAGAATCGAAAAGCCCTGTATCAACTTGAAAATAATGATAGAAAGAGGGGGGGGGGGGGGGGGACAAAGGGGGGGTAACAAATGCAAATCTTAATCTAGCAATACGTGGCATTTAAAATATTATCCTTTGAAGAATCAGTTTGAATCAAATTCAGAAGGAAATGATTGAAGCCATTAAATGTAAGGTATCTACTTGGACTAAGGTGAAGGATAATCAGATGAATAAGAACATTATTAGTGTTTCGAGATTTTTTCCTAGAATCTTTCATAGAAAAGTAGACATCTGATGTACAGTTGATGGTCTTGTGGCAGTGTAGGGTCTATCCTACTGCTTGCCTTGTGTTCCTTGCTTAATAAACCTTAATTACCAAAAAAAAAAAGTTTGAATAAAATTCCTCCTGAATTGAATTTTGAATCTAATTATATATGTAATTAGGTATTTGGAGTCCAATGAGAGGTGGTTTGTGGAGATGATGGCAGAAGTCATGCAGAATAAGTCCTGATCATGAAAAAAGTGGAAGTGATAGTGGCACAGTAGTGGTGACGGTAGAGATAGAACGACAAAGTTGATAACCACCATATAATGGTGGTGGCTTAGCCGACTGTGGTGGTGAATGGTGATGGTGGTGGCTTGGTGACGATGGGCAATGGAAGCCATGGTGGTGCTGGCTAAAGACAGTAATGCTGGCACTGGTGGGTTAGCAACTAGGGATTTCAAATAGGGTTGGTTTGGGATAGAGCAATCATTCCCCCACACTACCCTAGGAGAGAACCCACCCCAAACTCGGTTCACGGAGGTCAGTTTATTTCATTTTATGTTCTGTGGGAAAATATGGACACATTCAGTTCAGCACATACATTTGTAATACAACACATGAGCTTCTATGGTAACACATGAGGCTTCAGTACACCTAAAATAGCACAATTCAGATCGTAAAATATCCACATGCAATGCACTGTGCATCAATAAGAACCATCTAAAATTACTTACAATGGCAACTATTAGATTCATGCATCTCCAAAAAGTTAAAAGTCCAAGCAAATTCATACAACTTACAAATAGAACTAAATGTTCCTTTCATTGTACAGAGATAATTTTACCTATTATTGGAGGGAAAGGTTAGATACCTATAATCAACTTAAGACAATTTCATTCAACGCTTTATATTCATTTGTATTAATTTCTTCTAAATAGTGCTTGTTTCTTTCATGTGAAATCATTAGCATACCTCAAGGAAGAGAAACTCGATTCCTCCAATCAGATCAACCTGCTCAATGAGAAACTTAGGGGTACTTGAAACAGTCATGTCAGGAACTTGATAAAACATGTTGGTTAGCATGCAAATAAGCTTGCTGCGGACAAGTTCTGCCCAAGAATTTCTCCTGCCAACCTCTATAAGAACCTTAACCACCTTCAGGTAGATGAAAAAAAAAAAGAAGTTAAACCCAAAACTCAATGGAGATGGTGATGTTGATGTACATGAAGTTTAATAGAAGCATAGAACAAAAAAATTTACTGACTATGCAGAAACTATAGCACAATACAAACATACAAGCTCAAACAATGATAAAGTCAATAAAAATATATGATTGGAAACTGTTGCAGATTCTCATTAGCGTCACTAGAGGGAGATCAGTTGTGGCAATACAACGGTAAAATATCAAACTTGTCCTCATTCTTTATTTCACTTTTCTTAAGATTTCATTAAGAAAACATAAAAAGCAATCATTACCTGAATATAAGTCAACTAAATACCATGAATTGTCAAAATCAAAAACTTTGTTCAGGTTCAAATTCCTAAAAGCTGCAATTAAAACAAAGGTCTGATGACAAGCCACTCCCCATGCTCAAATGTGGCTAATAATAGAGATACCAACAGCAAGTAGGAAAAACCAAGCAAGCATTTCCAGTTCTATAAAACCACATTAAAATATTTGATAAGCTACTCTTATAAAACCTTTTGTTCCATCATTTATCTAAAAATGGGCATCTGTGTGATACAGAAGCTTGTAGCATACATCAACAGCCAAAAACATGAATAAATTATTAAACAATAATAATTTTTATTTATGTTTTCAATAGTTGGCACCAGAGAAACATCATCAAAAGCGATTTCTCATCAATCTGAAGCTCCTCATAATAAAGAACATACAAAATTGTACTTGCACAGAAAATACAATACTGAGCAGGGAAAAATGAATTACCCTTATGTCAAGTCCTTCTAGCTTCTTCCTCCTGATTTTGCCTCTATCACAGACAAAATAAAGTAAACAGCTTAGGGCTGAAGCCCAGACAGATTGTTCCTTCTCTTGTATCTGTGATATAACGAAATGGCAAAGAAGCCTTAACCATGATACATGAAGTACTGAAAAGACAGTAACCAATAAATGATAGTTATATAGGTCAAGGTGACCAATCCACAACCAATTGACAGTATAGACTATATTCAACCTAAAACAATCTGGAAAAGGTTCAGAGTCCATCACAAAAATAACTTGGAAGAAATTAAATACAATGTTAGTGCCAATTCAACATCAGTCAAGAAGGCACTTTAGCTCCTCTACCTTGAACTACACCTTGTACAAAATAAAATTAGCAGAAGAAAATGAAATCAAGAAAAGGAATTATCCTCGGCCCCTGTAATATATGAAGAATTCTCATGTAGCAAAGAAAAAGATTGGAAAGTAGCAAAGAAACTTTTGGTGACCATTATTTTTAAAAGCTTTAACAAGCCAATTTTAATACAAAATATGATAATCATTGGTACATTACATCACTGTTACTATTAGATCCCACAACAACACTAAAACCGTGAATGCTCAACGGCCATTGATTAAGGTGGTTTGCAAATAATGTGTGTGTTTGTGTCACCATCTTCATTCACAACCACTGACAGACACACATATCTATGTAGCATACACAGAGAATGGGACACAAACATGACACAACACAAACACAAGGACACAATAAATTCAGAAAATGGAAGATACAAACATGGCAAGTACTGAACCGACAATGTATAATGTATTTATTATCTAAAAATTTCCACTTAAAATGTAAAATGTGGAAGATGAAACTCGACAATATCATTTATATAAAGCAAACTCCAACTACTTGCTTTAATAGTATATTTATTTAATTAATATTTTTTTACATCTAGCACTATGTTCTTTCCTCTGGAGAATAAAATGATGATTGTAAATTTTTGGAAAAGCACCGCTGTGCAATAGCAAATTTTGATTAATTGAAGGAATGCACCACTGCAGCTTCCAGATTGCAATAAAGCAGTTCTGTATAAGCCTTGTAGCACAGAGTTTCCGTTGATATGATAACGCACGATCTTTAGTAATATACATATAAGTTGCACCACATGGTATGTATAATGTTTTCTTCTACTGTTCAAGTAAATTTCACTTCCTTTAATAAAATATCATCACAAGTTTTGCTTGATGAAGCTTTCAGAAAGAAGTATTAGATTCATAGTGGTTGATGTAATAGCTCATTAAACAATCACAATCACAGATAAGACGTACCTGAACAAGATGAAGAAGAATCTCATATAGAATGCCTAAAATCCAAGACTCAAAATTATTGATAGCTGAGGAATTTTCCATCTTAGAATAATCTGGTTTTCTCTTTCCTTGGTTTGCAAGTTGTGCTTCATGGTCAAAGTATGATTCTTGAGAGTAATCTTCTTCAATTGAAGTATCTTCAAGTATCATTGGCTCCAATAAATGACCGTGAACCCCAAGGTTTAAAATTAAATCAAAAGCACGAGCCCTCGAAGCCAATCTGGGAGAACTAAGCATTTCCTGCAAGAGAGAGGGAGAGAGAGAGAGAGAGAGAGAGAGAGAGAATAACATAAGAAGCTTTAACCACATCATTATCATGACCTAAGTTGCATGGACGCGGGTACGGGTGTCGGGTGTGGGTGCGTATCTAAGGGTCGGACACTTCAAAATTAAAAATTAAGGATACGTGGATATGCATCCAAATTTGGATACGGGTACGGGGATACGTTAAATAGTTTGTTTTAAAAAATATATATTTATTATAGGAAGATGAGTTATATTATATAAATAACAAATAAAAATTATTTTAGATATAAAATAAATTATATTATATAAGATAAAATAAGTTATTTTTATTTTAGACATAAAAATTATATTATTTATGATATATTATATTATTTAATTTTTTTGAATGAGTAATATTATATATTATTATATTAATGTAATTTATACTATATGTTAATATAAATGTAATATGAATAATGGATGAATAATATTATATGATATGAATAATATTATATTTGAATAAAAAAAAAAAGAGAATAATATTATATATTATATTATTATATTATGAGATTTATATTATCTACTAATATTATATACTAATAAATATATTATTATTATTATATACCAATATATTATTATATTATTATCTACTAATATATTATATCATTATATCGAGAGAACAAAGAAGAGAAGAAAGAAGTCGGCGACTGAAAGAGAGGGAAGGGAGATCGAGATCGAGAGACAAGAGGAGAGGAAGAGAGATCGACAGATCGAGAGACGAGAGAGAAGATAGAGAAGGGGATCGAGAGACGAGAGAGAAGACAGAGCAGGAGATGGAGACCGAGCATCGAGCATGTCGAAGCAGCGATCGATGTCTTCGCCATTTCGACAAGTGACCAGGTTCTCTCTTTCTCTCCCTCTTTCATCTCTTTTGCTGTCTGTAAAGAGCCGTGTCTGAGAGAAAACACGCGAATCCGACACAGATCTCACACCCGCACCCGTGTCGACACGGGTACTTCGCCCCAAAGTGCCGAGTCCATGTAACACAGATCATGACCAAAAATAAAAAATAAAAATATTGTAATGGAGGCAGCACCTCAAGCATGGATAGAGTGAGAGGAGCAGCTGTTCCAGAATCCAATACATACCTACAAAACAAAATTTTACAACATCAGCCCATAATAAACTTTATGCAAAAATAAAAAGATGACAAATTACATCAACCAGTCAAGAAGTTTATTTGGCAGATAATTGAATGGTTCAAGCAGACCAAACCTTCATGATATTCATACTCACGGAAATTACTTAAAAATTTATTAATTTAATGTGGCTTTTCTGGGCTCAATAAGCTTTTAATAAGGTAACTTTATTATCAAGTTCATTGTCACAAAAAAGAAAAATTTGTGGCCATCAATCACAACTTGGAATATAGCTCAAAATTACAACAATCTAGCTGTAATATTTCACATTACTTGTCCAATTATTAATATCTAGAAAGTTCACAATAGAAGAAGGTTGCAAATTGGATGGTATCCATATTAGACTAAACTGGAGGCCCTACTCACTGTGCATAAAATGGTCATTAAATAATTCAACTAATTCTTCCAATGAAACTGGGGAAAGTTAATCCAAGTAATTAAGGCACCCGCTTTGACAACAATTGTTTCCTATATATATAAAGCTGTCTGTTTGGCTTGAAGAATATTTTTCCTATATATAGCTTCTTCTTTTTTTGGCTTGAAGATTATTAAGGTGACTATAATAGAGAAGCCATGTCATCAGTGCCAATAAATGAATCACATCAATGCTTGTAGGATATGAATACTGAAGGTCACCATTTTTTGGAACATAAAGCACAGGTCTTATGTGAGACATGATGCAGCCACAAACCAGGGATAATCTGCATATATATATATATATATAGAGAGAGAGAGAGAGAGAGAGAAGAAAGTGTATTTAATTGCATATAAAAGAAATTCAAGAATGAAAGAGAAGGGGTTGTTAACTTTTTTTTTGTATTCTTCCACAGCCCTCTCTGTCATAGGTGGCACCCACACCATGTGAGAGGAGAATTGTGGAAGAGTACACAAAAGCTGTGGAAATAACAATTTCATTAAATAATGCCACTAAATAAATGCATGGGAACATACATGTCAATTACAAGTTTGATGAGAACGCTCACAGCCACGTCCATTGATTGCTTTCCACTGTTGTTACTTAATTTAGAAGAGATAGACATGAGATTAGCATTTGGAGTAGGTGTCTCTGAGCAAACTGCAGCAATGACCTCACACACCTCTGCTGGATTCAATCGCAAAGGTTGTTGTTCGCTGGTACACAAATAAACATTGAGAAAGAGAGAGAGAGAGAGAGGAGAGGAGAAGAGAGGGTGGGAAGAGGGAGAGAGAGCTGAGCAATGAAAAACCCATTTGGTGAATGCAAGCAAAAGAAATGGTGTTTATACGATGAATTTAACAACTGAAATCATTATGTTGCAATGCCAGTTAGATAGAAATGCCTGAGAGGGAAGTTACAATCCCAAAAATAGACATGCATGTAATTGGCCAAAAACACGGGGAAAAATCAAATAATAAATTGATAATAAAATTAATGCCATTTAGATAATAACAGAAACAGTATCACCATCAGAGAGAACTATATAGTTCTACAATTATAATGATATGGCTATTGATTCTCACTTACCAAACTACTAGGAAGCACGGGCACGGACGTGCCGGATACGCAAATGTCCAAAATATGTAGGGCATGTGCAAAATATATAGATTCATATATTTATTATATGTCATATACATGAATTTTAAAGTCAAAGACAATAATTTTTTTAAGTCTAAAGGAGGAGAATATGTATAAATTTACATAGTTTTTTTTTTTTTAAAAAAAAATCATTGGATTCCAAGTTATTTTATTCAAACTTGTAATATGTTTCATGTGCATGTAAGTGTCGAGAAGTATCCGAAGAGTGTTGTGTCGGTATTGGACACAAAGTGTCCATGTTTCTCAGCCAAACTATGAGAAATAGTCAAATATTGAGAGAATTATACTGGTTTACATCAATAGAACATAAAAAATGGAGAAATATTTCATTTTGTTGTACCTATAGTGACGATACTGGAATAGTGGTCTAGCACGTGGACGGAATGTGCTTACTGGAGAATCTTCCCTGGGAAAAAACAAAGAAAACGGAATTATATATCTGACAATAGTAATGGCATAATCAAACCATCTAAATCAATCCTTCAACGAGGCAACACTTCTCATACTAGTTTTAAGGGTAAATTACTAATACCCGAGGTTGCCTAAAATACAGATTCAACCCTTTGGTTTACAAATGCAACCACGTTAATAGCATCTAATTTTTTAGGTGTTTGGCCATTGGCAATTTTCAATTCTTTTTTTGATGACAAACTAACAGTTCACTTATACTTGCTTTTACTTTTGCTGTCACTTTCAGTCTAGATGAAACTCCTAAATTCCTAATATGGAAATTCTTAATTTTTAATCTTCTCCTCCTATTAGTTATACCTCCAGTTTTGCTTAGCAGACCTACGACTATCTTTTAAAATCCTTTCTCACAACCCCACTTTATGCCACAATTTCTGCGTGTTTTTTTAATGAAAAAAAAAATGTGTGCATGTTCGTTTTTTGTCTTGCTTTGGTTAAAAAAAAAAATGGAAAAAAGAAAAAAAACAACTTTAACTTCGACTTATTACCTTTGAGACAATACTTAACCCTTATGTTCACATTTTTGTTCAGAGACTTTACCCTCCAATGTTTGAATGTGGAAAAGGTTGCTTAACACAACCTATACCCAACACACACAAAACCACTGCCATGATATTCTACAACTCAATCAAGCCAAAAGGAAATTACTGCTTTTGCAGTCCCTTCCACTCTATCTTTGGCTATGTTTGATAAGAGGTAACCATGTAAAAAAGAAAAAATTATAAATTTAATGCTACGTATAAGTGGGTTACAATTATTTGCGATGTACAATGAATATTCAAGCAAGAAGAAATGCAACAATAATAACATAGTAACTGGAAAAAAAAATGAAAATGATAAAAAAAGCAACAAAGTGAGTTAGAAGAACATGCCAAATTTGAATAGGGCCTGGTTTAGTGCGCTTGGTTGCTGTTATTGCTCTCAAGTGCGCACGGGCAGAAGCAGAACTGGTGACGGTAGTTAGTAATGAAGGCTGCAACAGTTGATCAAGGTAAGGCATATCAGCAGTCCCAAAATTTCTCCAAGATTGGCCCTTCATTTTAGTTTCCATATCCCCCACAAGAAGAGCTGCTGCACCTATTTCAAGGAAATCATGCGTACTCGTGTCTTGGGGACTCAGAACATGATCACTGCATAGTTGGGTTTTTTGAGCAATACAAGAAATCAAAACCACATAAATAGTTAAATCAAACTCTCTTTTCTTGTTTTGTTGTAGCAATAATAATCCCAAGAAAGCCAAAAGGTACAAACTGAAATCAATTACCTTTCAGATGATGACTGTTGGTCCCTACACCAGCGCCATTTCAGAACATCAAGGGCTATGAACTCAAAATCATCCATTCCATCACCATTTTCAACAATTGGTGAGTTTGAAACAGATATAACCAATGCCTCTTTGTTCTCCAAAGATTCTTTCTTGTTTGCCGAATTGAAAGATTTGCTCAACAAAGATGACAACGATGGAAGTGACTGCCTTGATGCAGAAGGAGCTCCAGCAAATATTGCTGATTGGAATGACCGTTTAGGAATATGTTGAGCCACTAGAGAACGGACATAATTTAATGACTTCACAAGTGCCCCTGATGCAAAACTTGATACAGGCAAAGGAGATATATTGGTCGGTGTTGTTGGCACTCCAGATTGTTGATTTGAAGGTTGCGACCCTGGTGACAATCTTCGGCTTGGGCTAACTTCACATTCAGCAATTATGCTCACACAGAACCGATCAATTTGATGTAATGTCTCCTCACTGGGCTTATATCTGCAACAAGTGAAGCACATGTGTATACACATAAGTGAAAGGAAGAACCCAACAATAGCATGATCTGTATGAACAGGTAAAGTGGACAGTACAAGGAACCACTCTGGCATCCTATATAGACAGTAACAAGGAGCAACAACCTTAAAGTTCAAGATGGCCCCTTAGGTTAGATGTGACCCAAAAGTTGACCCAGCTGAATAATGATATTCAACAGTAAATCGGGACTAATAGACACCTTATTTACGCAACGGACCAAAATAGACACCTTATTTACGCAATGGACCAAAGAACAAGGTAGAAATAGTTCTCAGGAGACTTTGAAGACAGATACAAATAGAAAACCCAACAGACACCATGGGAATGAGAAGAGCCAATATATGGCGAAATCCACATGAGAAGAGCCAATATATGGCTAAGATCCGACTGATATTTCTCCCATCGAGGTGACCACGACCAAATTTACAGTCATGAATGGACTCCGATTGAGATAGAACAAGATGAATGAAGCTTTGGCAAGACCATGACACGAAGATCTGGTCGTTGAGAAAAAAGAAGATTACATCGTAGATTCTGGATTTTGTCGGTCAAGATTTCTAGTTCATCGGAGAAGACAAGAAGGTGGCATCGGAACTGAGAGTCCAGCGGGTGGCGAAGGCAAGGCTATCGTCCGCCAATGAAGCGGAAAACATAGGCTATAATTTATGGCTCTCGTACCATGTTAGAATTATGGGGAAAAAATATTGTATTTATAGGCTTGGAGTGCTAACCAAGTAATCCTGGATTGGTAACCAGATAACCTAAGTATGGAAATATGAAAAATAGGGCAATACAATATGTTAGAAACATTCATTAACATAATGATGGCTTATTCATCAAGTCACAAGCATATCCACAAAATCAGCTCTTTCACAGTTTTGAATACAACAAAATGAAAGCCATTGTCCCAAGAAGAACCTACCTTAGAAGGTAACGTTTCAAAATTGCCACACACCTTGCAACTACTGCTGGGCTGTTGGAAATAGAAGTTGTCAGTAGCCAAAAAAATCATTTATACATATCTAAAGAAAGAAAATCATAATAGAAAATGAAAATTCGCACACTCAAAGACCTACATAGGATTACATATATCTTACCACTAAAAATAAAATAAAATAAATTAACAGTAGTTCAGCTGTCGCAAGCACATGGTACAAACCTGCGCTCCTTCTCCGCAAGAGTATGGTCTAAGATGACACTATAAGCCAAGTCAGTTGTTGCCAGTGCCGCAAGATAGTCCTGCCATTAAGAAAGAAAAATAATAACATTTGATAACATACTTCGCACATCTACATTTGACTTAGGCGCATGGAATACTAATGACAAGCATATCATTTAACCAAATTATTTCCAAAAAACCATCCCAACAGTTCCAATCATTTGTATTAGTAAATGAAAGTTTTACAGTACCAGAAAGCACACTAATTTTTCTTTTTCTTTTTTATGTCATAATGCCACTTCAATGAACAATTGATGTGTGAAATACAAAAGTTCAAAGATGTAACCCAAATAATAAAACCATGTCAAGTCACAATCAATTCCAATTCCAATAATGAAGGCAAGATCCCCTTTGTGCATGTCATGAAGTTACAAAGTCAATTATCTAAAAGTTCCAAAAAAAAGGGTACTTACAAACTTAGAAGTGGTTGATAACTCAATTAAGTACTTAATATTGAATGTATTTAAGTGCTTAATACTAACTGTATTCAGCGGATGGGTGGTGGAAGGTAGATTAAATCTTATTCTCGACAAACAAATTTATTTTTACATTTTAGCTTCAGAAATTTTGTCCCTAAAATCATTCAGAACTACTAATTCAGCGCCCCCCAACCCAAAAAAAGAAAAAAAAAATGGAATTTTCAGTTGTATAAAACAGTGAAGTTGTAAACTTCCACATGAATGTGAAATTCCATAAATGGCAACACTTTTATTAAACAAGAACAAAAATTCTCCTTTCCTTTTTTTTAAATACAAAATTCTAACTTCCGTTCCAAGAAAAAAAAAAAACTAACTCGTATGGAAGATGAATAAATATCCACTGCATCTAACCAAACCCAATTAATGTATGCTCTCTGAGCACAAAGCCACTAAGTTATAACCACAAAATTAACTATTAGAACCATTACTTCACCCAATTTAAAATGAGAGAAGCCTACCAGCTATAATTATAATGGGAAAAAATAAATCGTACCGAAGACGAATAAATGTCTACTGCATCGAATGAAACTCAACTAACCTATGCTCTCCCAGTACAAAGCCACTAAGTTATAACCACAAAATTAACCTCTAAAACCGTTACTTCATCCAATTTAAAATTATAAAAGCCCAAAAGCTAGAATAATAATGGGAAAAATTAAATCGTACCAAATACGAACAAATGTCTACTGCGTCCAACGAAACCAAATTAATGTACAAAGCCACTAAATTACAACCACAAAGTTAACTACCAAAACCATTACTACTTCACCCAATTTAAAATGAGAGAAGCCTACCAGCTAGAATTATATATAAATGTCTATAGCAACTAATGCAACCCAATTAATTTACGCTCTCCCCGCACAAAGCCACTGAATTACAACCACAAAATAAAATACTAAAACAGATACTTCACCCAACTTTAAACGAGATAAGCTACAAATTATAAGAAGGAAAATGTATCAACCAATTCTCACAGGGATTCCACACCCCCACTGAAACAGAAAATTATGAAAAATCAAATCAAATCTAAGTAGAATAGATTTTTTTATTTTTTTATTTTATCTTTTATATATCACCTCTCATATTGATTTCTTTGTTTTGAGATATAATTATTAAGTGATTAAAGAAAGCATATAACATCTTTGCCCTATAATCCGACGATACAAAAGCAGTAGTCTATTATTAGATTAGATTGATAAAGACACAAATGTATAATTGAGAATTGAGAGACAAATGTATACAGTGGAACCCTAGATATCAAAACCAAAGCTTGCGAAGATCTAAATTGAAAACGATGAGATTACAAACCCGAAGTGTCCTGCAAGCCTCGGAGGCGCCGGAGGAGGGGGCGGAGGAGGAGAGACAGTCGGCGACGGCGCGGCGGAGAGGCTCCGGAGGCTTCTTCAAGGACGAAGATCTCAACCTAGAAGCACCACTCAACAAGAACCTCGAACTCAGAGGGCTTCGCGAAGGACTGTAGGTCGTCGTCGACATCGATGCTCTACAACAACAACAACAACAATCACTCACTCCGTAACTACTACATATACATAGACAGAGAATTTGGATTAGATTTATGTGAATGTGTCTCTGTAAACAGTCTCTCACTCACTGCTACTACATTTGAACATTCGAAAGAAAGAACTGAGAGAGAAAGAGAGAGAGGGGTTTGGTTTGGGGTTGAGATGTAGAATATCATATATTTCGGAAGAGTGTGTGTACATGCTTAGCTGTGCGTATAAGTTTGGTTTTATGAGGAATACAGCTGGCGAACGCTGTGAAATCGTCAGTTTCATTGGTGGAAATGCTAATCTAGTCATATTAAAATATTTATTGACTATTTACAAAGGCAGAAGAGATTATGTGAATATGATAGGAATAATGTTAGGTATGAATTAATCTGAAAATTAGTGTATTAATAGGTGATGTAATATTTTTTGTATAATTTTGATATTTATAATTTTTATAATAAATGTGGTTAATAATAATATTATAACAAATAATATTATATGTATCAATTAGTATATTAACTAGTATGCTAATTGATGATGTAACATAATTTAAGAAGTTTTTGAGATTTGTAATGTAATTAATGAGTGTGGTTAATAATAATGTCATAACTAGTATTGATACACTAATTGATGTATGTAACATTACCTTATTATAACACTAATTGTTTAGTTTATTAGATTCATTTTTGTATTTTGTTTTGATAATTCAATTTTTTTACATTTTAAAATTCTTGAAGTGTATTATCATTTTAAAAAATTAAACCGATCAGATAATAACAACCACATGTTTAGATTAGTTTTATATAAGCAGTCTATTTTTTTCATGCAAAGTTGATTCAAATATGTGGTTGTCCTTATCTAATTAACTTGATTATTTTGTAGAGATAGTATACCCGATAAATCTTAAAATGTAAATAATTAAGATAATAAAAAATGAGACTCAAAAGTAAACTCAACAAGCTGGATTGCACTGGTGACAGTCAAAGTCTTTTTAAAAATTAAATTATTGATTTTCTTTCGACATATAAAAATAAATATTAAATAAATAATTTTTTTTTATAAATTACAAAAGATGGTGATTTATGGTAAAGTATACGACAAAAGAAGTGCTAGCGGGTTGACAGATGCCATTAGGGTGACCGATCAACCATCGAAAGGTGGTCGAAACTTGTTGGAATTGCTGGCAACAAGTGATAGTGGAGGTTCCGTAGCGATTGTGGGTAGCAGCCAGAAGTAACAAGAGGTTTTCATGATTTATTTATCACTAAAATTAATTCCACTTATCACATAATATTATTTAACTTACCTCTATGACTAATTGTATTTATCACATAATATGATCAAAAAATGAAATTTACTTATTATTTTTATTGATCGTATTTATCACACATGGTAATTATATTTGCTATAATTTTTTAGATACAGTATAATACAAGCATATAAATATAGTTGTACCTTATATTTTACATAGTAGTTTTCAATGTCTGTAAATTTATCAATTATTGAGAATGTAAAATTATTTTAAACATGTTAAATACCATTAACAAGATTCATAAATAAATTCAATTTCAGTGGCTGTTAAATTTTTCCTTTCACTTTTTATATAAAGCTATATGAATATTCTACTTAATAAATCTTACAAAATGAACGGTTTGAATTATTAAAATCAATCCCAAAATAAGTCTATCAAATTTAAACACTCTCTTAAATTGAGATAACCAACATGAGAAAAACCAAACTCTTTATGGATTATAACTCATTATGTGATGCAATGATTATTATTATTTTTTAAATATGATAAATCTTGTACGTATGGATGATTTTATTATGCAAGTTCAGGTAAAAATTAAAATACATTCAATTACAAAAATCAACAGCAACAACAACAATAATAATAATAATACAAGAAATTAACGGGTGCTTCCGTTTGCAAAGTTGGTTTGAAGGCTATTTTGGCTAAAATAGTCACAAAAAACAAAATAAATTTTTTAATCCAATAAGACAAAATATCACATCCAACTTATAATCATTACATTATTTCTCTCACAAAAAAAGTTTAAAAAGTTAAAAAAATCAAAAAAGTCAAAAATCCTTCCCAAATCAGATTTTTTAACCCCAGACTAAAATAGCAAAAAAAATTAAAAAGTTAAAAAACTAACCCACTTCTCAATCGGAGGCGTGGGGAAGCCATATTTTAATCTCACATTTGAAATGAGAAGCGAGCAACACATGTGATAATTCTTCACAGGGAATAGACAATGACTTGAAATCTTCACATGGACATGATGCGCTTCTTTTGGACCCCCCTTATACACAATCCCTATTAGATGTGTTTGGATAAAAAAATTTGGTAAACATTTATTAAGTGTTGGATTGAAAATAAGTTATTTTAATAATTTTTTTGATTAAAATAAGAAATTCAAAAAAATTGTATATTTAAAACGATTTTTCAACTTTTTACAAAAAAAAAAAAAAGTGTCAAAAATAAAGAAGCAAAAAAATATTTGACTTTTTTATATAAATTTTAAATTTTTTTAACGACTTATTTAAAACTATTATAGGGAGTTCTCAAACCAAACCTGGAAGAAAAAAAGAAGTGACAACAAAAAAAATTGACTTATATTTTATTCAATTTTCCGTCCACAAATCTCCTCTTAAATTTTTGACCCAAACACAACCATGAAATTTAGGCAATTTGAAGACAAGATCACAAGGGAATCACAAGTTCTCATGGTCTACCATCCGACTGCGAACGCACAAAAGTGAGAGACGGACTGCCAACAGTCTGCACGCAAGACAGAATTGTGCCTGCATGAAAGTGAGAGACGGACTGCCGACAGTCTGCACACAAGACAGAATTGTGCCTGCTTGAACAGGAAAGCCTACCGAGCAAATAAACCGTTAACCCGATCCACTTGTTGCCCGCTTGCTTTCCCACCTCACTTCCGCATCTACCTTAGCATCCCAAGTAAGAATTTTCCGATTGCTTTAGCAGACACTTCACCTCCTGGTTTCCACCTGTCCTGGCCAAAACTATGGAACTCATTTGAAAAGTCAATTTGCTATATCAGAACGTGAACTCTGAGAATAGGGGTATACAAGTTAAACCACCTTGAATCAATCCAAGACCGCTAAACTAAAAGATTCCTTTACCAAGTAAGCTACGCAACCGTCTCACATGTTCAACTCATCAATCCACAAAATTGTCACACAGCAAAGGGATTATTGATTGATTTTTGTTCTTAATCTAAGAGAGATTTTTGTTGCTTCATGAAAAAATTAATTGCAATCAAATCACATCTCAATATCAGAATTAGTCATAGGCTCATAGCACTATTTTAGCACACAATAAGACAAATCATGAGTGGTTACAACGTATAGCACACAATAAGATAATTGCAAGCAAAAAATTCCAAGAATGAAAAAGATCCAAAACCCTAATCACATCAATAAAAGCCATGTCAAAACAGAAAACCCTACACAAACTTGCACACACAAACAAATGTGCCTATGCATGCCTCAAATCATTTCAATTTCAAAAAGACCACCACCATTCTTGTTCAGATTCAATCAATCCACAGCCAAAATCATATCGCAACTCTCAAATTTAGTAGTTCCAACAATAAATACTACCAACCAAATTCATCATCAATACCTACGAAGGCCGCGATCAAACATCGGGACAGAAGGGCACTCATGCGCTTGATGACCCCTCCCACCACAGTTGTTGCATATGACAATCGATACACAGTCGCGGCTGATGTGACCCGGATGACCACAATTACGACATATTATGTCACGGAAAGGACCCCCCACCATTTCTGGTGGCGGCAAGCTTGACTTGGGGCATTGGCGCGCCACATGACCTGATATATTGCAGATGTTACAGACGGGATCGTTTGGGCAGTCACGGGCAAGGTGACCGGTTTTACGACAGTTGTTGCAAGCCTTCTCGTTGGTGCAATCGGCGGCAATGTGGCCTGCCTTGTAACAATTGTTGCAGAGTCTTGCATCGTGAGCAGGCAGACTTGGGTTAGAGCAATCACGAGCCAGGTGACCCATTTTACCGCACATATGGCAGACTGGATCATTGTGGCATTCACTTGCGAGGTGACCTGGCTCCTTACAGTTCCAACACATGGTTGTTGATGTGCACTCAGCAGCAATGTGACTAGAAATAAAGACAGAGTATTGGAAACATCAGATCTTGAAGCAGAGTGAAATGATGGGTTTATCAATTCCTCTGAGAAACCAACCACCAAGGCCAAAATTCTTTTGGCATTAGGAATTCTACTATGCAATTTTCCATTTTGAATGAAGTAGTTCTCCCAGGAATGGGCACCCAGGAGAACCCTAGAAGATCCAAAACAAATGTTTTCCACCAACAGACCAGAGAGGAAACTCTGGAAGATCCAAAAAAAATTTCATGCTACTTATCTGACCTAGAATCAATCCATTGACTCTTGAAAGTCAAAATCCACTGCAATTCTCATAAGGGTTGTACGCTAACTAAGCCTGAATTTATTTTTTTTTTACACTTAAAAAGGAAACCAGAGAAAACTAATCCTGACTAACTAAGCCTACAAATAATATTTCTAAATAAAAGGAAACCGGAAAAGCAAATTCCCTCATTAACGAAGCCTATTTCTAAGCTTGAAAAGAAAACAAGAGAAAATCAATTGCTCAGTTAACTAAACCTGAAAATACTATTTCTAAGCTTAAAAGGGACAACAATGATAATAAAACAGCACATTACTAGGATGCTTTTTATATGGCAAAACAGAAAGGTAATTTAACAATGAAAAGATATTTTCATCTCACCCAGGAAGTCCACAGTTGTTGCAAACAGTCACATTTGGACAATCTCTGGCAAAATGCCCAGGTCGTTTACATTTATTACACAGATAATCTTGCCTGAAAAATAAGAGTAAGGTCATAAGTAAAAAGTCAAACCCAAAGATAACTTCATGGTAGGAAGTTTTAATTTGACCAAATACCAAATTTTTTTTTAATCAACACTTTGACCAAATACTATTAAAAAATGGAGATCAAGGATCAAGAAACAAATAAGGAGTCAAAATTTTGAATATAAACCAGTTAGTTGTATTCACTTAAATATGGACCATGGAACCCAAGCATAGAAACAATAAAAGCTGAGACCAAAATGTTATCACATGAGCAAGTTAATTGATTAATTCTTAAGATCATGACTAGAATAAAGATATCATATATCATAAATCATAATCATAATCATAATCATAATCATAATCATAATCATATTGCATATGTAATATTTTTCCATATAACCAAAAACACAGTGGCCTTGCTTGGGAGTAGGACAGTAGGGCTTCCTTGGATAGGCATGTGTTCTGTTGGTGCTCTGTCCAAGGTTGCTCTCTTTATTTGGAATGCGACTCGCGAAAGGATCCTTAAAATTCATAATCTCATTAGAAAACAACAATTTTTTATCAATTGGCGTTGCCTTTGAAATGGCGACAGGAAGTCAATTTCTCACTTGCTTATTCATGTTATCTCTTGTGTGGCTAGGGATCTATGGGGATTGGTATTGGTTTATTTGGAATGGATTAGGTGTTCCACTGGGATGTAGTGGCCATTATGTTTGGTTGGTGGGGAGGTGGGCTGGGGTGGGAAGCAAACGTGGAAAGCATGGTGCTTGGCTCCTATGGGCTTGATTTGGCTTTTATGAAGGGAGATAAAACAGAAGACTTTTCAAGGAAAATAGCTACCTTTTGAATAAGATTACGAGTTGTTGTCGTTGTTGTTGTTTGTTATTTATTTATTTTTGTGTGTGTGTGTGTGTGGCCATTTTGTATAGTTCAAATTTAGGAAAAATTTGATAAATTATTTCCAACCTGGATCATATTGTGGATTTTGTAGATTCCCTTTACTTGTAAGAAGTTGTAGCATTTTTTGTCTTCTAGACTTTCATATATGGCTGCATCCCCTTCTGATGTCTCTTTTAATACAATTTGCTTTACTTATCAAAAAAAATATCATAGCTAACAGCGCAATACAAATGAACTTTGCAGTGAACCTATTTTAAAATAGTTTCCATACCAACAAGATAAAGATCCAGCTGAGATCAGTTCAGACTCATTTTGAAGCACAAAACCAATAGTATGCAAGTTGCCAACAAAGCAAGCCAAAAAAAATGAGAAGAACATAAAATAACATGTATATAAAAAAAGTGAACGAGGTTCAGGTAAACAAACTGATATTACAACAAATAACCAGAGCATTAAGGAAACACATTCTTCAAAGAAGAACCATGATGCAACTAAGACAAAAATGCAACTATATAGCAAAAAAACATAAATAAATAAAAAATAAAGAATGAAACTATTGATTTTCCTGAAATAGAGAGACATACATACCGGTACGTGCGGCGATCCCTTGGGTAAGGTGCATCACGGTAAGATGCACGTTCATTGCTACGAAACCTCTTGGCTCGTGGAGGGCTTCTACTTCTATCTGGAGTCATAATGAAAACTGCCTCGTAATTTCTCAAATATATGGATGTAAACAAAGATCTGAACCACTACCCGAAGCAACTCCAAAAGTCAGGGACCAAACATCACCAAAAGGATCTCCTCCCTGACCACATAACCACGAAACCCAAACCATCCAAACATGAATCCAAAACCCTCTCCAAGCACCACAACCATAATTTACAGACAAGTCCATGTGCTCTTAGATGCATCATTATAAAAATCATCGGGGTAAAAAAAAATAGTGAGAGAGAGAAAGAAAAAGACAAAGTAAATGAGAACAAAACAAATACATGCAATCATATTTATCCAAAATTATTGACCTAAGAAACCTGAAGTCTAACTACAAAACACCATCAGTATACAATAAACTCTTTGATAATTAATAATGTTGGAGATTCAAAAATTTTAACAATACGATTATCACATTAAATGATATGATTCTCTTAATTTTCATCTACCGAATTTTTTTTATCAAATCTATATTTCAACATAAGAATAAAACATGCATATGTATTTTCAAGAGTAATGAATTTCTTTCAGAAAATATGCAGATCATAAATATAATAAAATTCAGTACTAGCAACCAACTGGGTTAGCCCAGTTGGCCAATATACTACCAATTGAGCAGTCAGGAAGTCATTTTTTGTCAATGTCAATGATTGATTATTTCCTTCTCAAGATGGGGATTTTTCTTGAATTGATTGCTTCTTCCCATCATAGAGTTTTGTTTTGGGGGACTTGCGTGTAGATTTTAATAAATGTACTTATTATTCAATAGATCCTATGATAATTAATGACATTTTTCATTAAACATTATTAAAAAAAGTCACTAATTATTAATTTTCAGCGACGGTTTAAAAATTGACACAAAAAATATCACTAATTATAAGTTTCAGCGACAGTTTAAAAAAATCGTCACAAAAAAATGTCACTAATTTACAACTTTCAATCACAGTTTGAAAAATTCATCACAGGAAAAAGTTACTAATTTTAAGTTTTAGCAACAATTTATAAAAACTGTAACAAAAAAGTCACTAATTGTCAATTTTTAGCAACGTATGTAAAACAATAGTCACAAAAAATTTATTTTTAGCAACGATTTTATTATGACTTATTTTCAATAAGACTTGATGAGAATTAAGTCTAACTGTTAAGACCTATAGGTAATTTACTTTTTTTTTATTTTTTTATTGGCACTAGGGTGTTCAGATCAAAACCGGGTGTTCAAGTCAAAACTCGACCAATCCCAGAGATACACAGCCCTCGGCAAGGGATTTTCCGCAAGTGTAGTGCGGTTAATTCAAGGGTTTTCTCTCAGCCCGATGTTCTTAAGAAATTATTAGCACCTAAGAGGTTTTAATCCTTGAACCTTGGAGGGAGCACACCCCAAGACCCAAAGCTTTGCCACCAAGTTAGCCCCTTGGGGTTTCTCATTATAGGGAGGTGTTTGGTATGGCTTATTTTGGCCAACTTATAGATTCTATTTTTGAAAAAATTATTTTGGACTGTTTGGTTAAACTTATTTCAAACAGTTTATGATTCTACCAACTTATTTTAATTCAAAAAAGCTTATTATGAGAAACTGCTCATCCTTTATTTCTGATTATCAGCTTCTGCTGTCGACATGTTAATTTAAGATTATACTTTTAGATTTTTATTATTTTTTATTTTTAAAAAAATAAAAGACCCAAATGGACTATAGATTGTTATTATTATTTTTTTATGAGAAATGTAGAGAAGTAGTGAATAACAAAAAATAAAAATTAATTCAAAAAGTTATTTCACAGCTTATTTAACAAATACTACTCAACAAATTAAATCTATAATTCAACAGCTACATCAAACTGATTAACAACATCTGATTAAAGTTATAATCTATAATCTGTTAAGTTACATTGTGCTTGTTTGGTAGAGCTTTTTTCCAACTTATTTCAGTTTTTAGCTTAATTTAAGCTGTTTTATTGTGTTTGGTATAGCTTAATAATACAGATTATAACTTTTTGTAAGTCAAAAATCAATTTTTTCTTGAAGTGGCTATGGGGGTGCTTAAGAGATTCAGCTTAAGCGGCAAGTTGGGAAGGGAGGGACAAAGTTACTTAAATCCCCCTCATCAACTTCAACTATTACCAAAAACCCATATATAAAAAAGCTCTACCAAACACTGCTCACTTCTTCAGAGAGACAACTTGAGAGGCGATTTCTGGTGGCGTGAACCAAAACTAGCGCGCGCTCTCTCTCTCTCTCTCTGTCTGGTGTGAACCAGAGCTAGCTTTGTGAGCTCTCTCTCGATCTCGATCTCGATCTCTTCTTTCACTCATTCACAAACCAATCATAACTCTACTCTCATCAAAAACCCTAATTTCCCAAACCCAATTCAATTATCCTTCAACAGATACACCCATTCTTATCACCCAATCAGTGACCAAGAAGACGAATCAAAGGATGATGGAACCATAAATGAGTTCTTGTCCTGATTCGTGTGGATAATGCTGTCTGGTGTGAACCAGAGCTAGCTTTGTGAGCTCTCTCTCGATCTCGATCTCGATCTCTTCTTTCACTCATTCACAAACCAATCATAACTCTACTCTCATCAAAAACCCTAATTTCCCAAACCCAATTCAATTATCCTTCAACAGATACACCCATTCTAATCGCCTAATCAGTGACCAAGAAGAAGAATCAAAGGATGATGGAACCATAAATGAGTTCTTGTCCTGATTCGTGTGGATAATGCGTGGTAAACTCTCTGAAGTCTACACTGACTATGACAAGAAGACAATTGATGGAATGCTTTTAATCATTGTTGGGAAGGCTGTATCAGAAATGGAAAAAGGTGGCCTGAACAAATGCTTGGATCAGCTGTGGCAACCCCATCCCATGATGATTTCGGTGAGGATCTTTAGAAAACAGTTTGGGAGATTAGCAATGAGGTATTATTGGATGGTATGAACAAGGCTAGGAAGAAGGAGAAAATGAAAGGGTTTCTTCAATCTGAGGAAGTTAAGGAAATGCGTAGATTTGCAGGCAAGGTTGTTAAAATCGGGATCCTACGTTGGATCGTTAGAGGTGTTTATAGGATCAGATCGTAGAATCGGGTCGAGGATCGTAAGATCCTACCAAAAAAGACAAATTACATAACAATTTAATTTAAATAAATATTTCTTATAAAGTATACACAAAATGAGCCTATATTTTATTAAAAAAAAGTGAAGATATTATGAAAAATATAATACTTCATGTAAAATGTACATATAATATTATACAATAGAAAACTCGATAGTAAAAGTTTTGTATTTCATCAAAAAAAAGGGTGAAGAATAAGAAGAATTTTATAACAAAATACTTCACAATCTACAATAATGCATAAAAAGTGAAGAAAAAATATTTAACAAAGTTGGATATGAAAATAGATTAAGAACTCAAAAGAATAGCTTAACCAAATAATAAGATTTGTCGTTAGCATCCCTGGTGGAGCGGATTTAAGTCACAAAAATAATCTCTCCAAAAATTGGGATAAAGTTGCAATCAGCTTACTCTCCTTACACTCCACTAAAGCTAAGTTTGTTTTTCCGACTATTTAATTTTCTTAAATTACCAAAATATTTAAATATTTGTTTCCTAGTTTTTTTTTCTTAGTCTATTTGATTCAATACAACTTAATTTTTATTATTTATTTTGACCACATAAAATGGTATTTAGACAACAAATATAAAATTTATAATAAAATATGTCATACAATACAAAACAAGGTTTGTAAATTGGATCGGATTCGGATCGAAATTCCACGATCTTATAAGATCCCACTACCAGGATCGAAAGACCCTACCTATAAGGAGTTTTTTACATGATCCGGATTGATTGTACTCAAACGGATCGTTAGATCGTAGGATCGTAAGATCCGAATCGGGATTCTGATAATCATGTTTGCAGGTGAAGTCGGTATTCATGGGGATCGACCTTCCGCTGTCGCGATGTCAATCCCCCATCGCGATCGATCTGTGTCTTCATCGTTGTCCCCTATCCCCTATCGCGATCGATGGAGAAGTGATCTCAGTAAAACTTTTTTTCGGTGAACCAGAGCTCTTTCTCTCTCGCCAGCGTTGTTCCGTGTCTGCGATGGAATGGCGGCGAGGGATGAGAGGAGAAGAATGGGCTGCCGGAGCATTTGCCTTTGCTGGAGAAGAACGGCGGCTAGGGTTTTCAGTGTTTCTTTAATAATAATAATAATAAAGCAGCATTTTAAGCCATTAATGAAATAAATTTTATATTAATTGATACTAATTAATAATTTTAGTATTAATTGATACTAATTAAGCCATTAATTAATAATAAATTAAAATGAATATAAAAAAATAATATGTTATGAAATCACAACATTAATATAAAGACATGAATATAATTAATATGTAAGAAGAGAAAAAAATAAAATAAAATAAAGAAAAAGAAGGAAAAAAATTAAGAGAATAAAAGAAAAATAAAGAAATAATTTGCACAATTTATTTCACAATTAATATTGATATAAATTGCACAATTTATTTCAATTAATATTTATATCCATTAAATAAATTGCACAATTAATATTGATATAAATTGCCCAATTGCACAATTTAAATAAAGAAATAAATTGCACAATTTATTTCAATTAATATTGATATAAATTTATTTCAATTAAATAGCTTCTATTAAAAGAATAACAATTGTTATATTATTAATTGTAATGAAAAAAAATTTAATAAAAACATAATTACAATTTTTTTTAAAATTAAAATCGAAGAAAAAATGAAGAATGCACCAAATTAGGTACTAATTATATCAACTTCCATTAATGAAATAACTTTTTCAAAATTTAAAGGGAAGAAAATGACAAAATTACAATTTTTTTGTTCATAAAAGCAAAAATAACTATTACACAACAAAAAATTATTTTACAGTTTATTTACTAAACACTACTCTTCCTTAAATCCATAATCCTACGGCTGCACCAAATAGGTTACCAACTTATATTCACAGCTATAAACTATAATCTATAATTACTTAACTTATATTCACAGCTATAAACTATAATCTATAATTACTTTCCTACATCTCTACCAAACAGGACTATAATCTGTTTTAACAGCTACACCAAACGGGGCTAGAGTTTTTGGTTTGCACTTGGACTGTCTTAGTTAATTATCTAAATGTAATTCTCTTCATATTTGTAAATAATATTCTACCGATTGTAAAAACCAATTCGACATAGAACAACTTGACACACTTCATAGTAAACAAATTAAGCCAAAACTGCTATTTTTACATTATCTATCTATACTATTATAAAGTGAACAGGAACTTTGGTGTCCTGAAGCTTTAAGCTTTACTGGTGTCTTGAAGCTTTACTCTCCTCATGTCATGTGGCAGTATTTTTTATTTTTTTGGCAGTATTTTTTATTTAAAAAAAAAAGTTAAACAAAGAGATGGGCAAGGCTTGAACCCATGACCATGGGTTTAAATATAAGGACTCATACCACTTAAGCTAAATACATATTATAATATTAATTTCATTATTATTTTTTCTTATTCCTACTAATTGCACACACATCGTGTGTGCCACCCACTAGTTCCCAACTATGTCAAGAAACAATGATGTTGCAAGTTATCCATAATGCTAATTCTTCAAAATCGACACATTTTATATTTGAAAAGAAAAAAAACAACACTTATTCTCCGTCACATCGCGCACAAACTGAGTGAAAATGGAGATGCTGGGACACAACTATGAAACATAGAATCTGAGAAAAAAAATTTAGATTGTGAATGTAATATATCGAAATACTTACAAACACATCGCATACAATCTCTATATATATACGTATATAGAGAGAGAGAGAGAGAGAGAGAGAGAGAGAGAGAGAGAGAGAGAGAGAGACCTGGGGAAGGGAAGGTAATCGTCGCACAATTGGAACGTCCAGTTCTTGAACCCTAGCTCTACTACTATGGTTAAGTCGTGTTTAGGGGCAATAATAATAAGTAGCCGGTTCACCGTTAGACGGTGCTGAGCCGCACCGGATTCCGGTTCAAGCCAATCTTCCTTTTTCTTTTTTTATTTTATTTTATTTTTTATAATTGGATAAATTACAAATTATCCCATATAGTTCTAGAAATTATATTATGTCCTTAAGGTTTTTAATTTCATAACAAATATATTCTTTTATTAATAAATCATCAAGTTAATTAACAAGTTTTAATAATGTTAAAATTTTATTTTAATTAATAATTCAAATAATTTTATTATTGTATATGTGAACAGTTAGAAATTTTACTTTTTTAATTAATTCTGTTAAATAAAAAATTTTGACAGGGAGATATTTATAATTTTTCAAACCACAGAGGGTAATTCGTATTTTAAGCAAATCTCAATGGGTGTATTTATAATTTACCATTTATAATTTCATAACAAATAGAATATTTTATCAATAAATCATTCCCTTCCACCCCTTAAAATTTATAATTTCATAACAAATATCACATTTTATTAATAAATCATCACGTCAATTAATAATTTTTAATGATATCATAAATATATTTTAATTAATAATTTAAGTAATTTTATTATATAGAAGAACAGTTAAATTTTTTTTTTGTTGTTAATCATATAAATAAAAAACCTTTATAAGGGGATATTTATAATTTATCAAATTATAAAAACAATATGTATTTTAAATATATTTGACGAAGTATATTTATAATTTATATATTTTTTTATACCAAACGGCTTTATGAAAACCAGATCTGGACCGTTTATCCAAGGACTCAAAATGGCAAATCGTAGTGGGGTCTAACTTTTATTTTGTGATTTCACTTTTATTTATTTATTTTATAATTTCATAAAAATTTGAGTATTGTGCCTTGTGGAGAAGTGTAGGATGTTAATGTGTACGAACCTAATTTATTAAAATTCTTTAATATCTTATTGAGTAAAAAATAAATAAAAAAGTAACGCTATAACCAAATTTTGATTTGAATTTTTAGATATCATTTTATGTGTGCTATTAATGTATTGATTTAATAAATCTACCATACATATCTTATACAAATAAATTAGTATTGATGATACAGCGTGCTCTAGATGGAACGGGTCGGATTGATCAACGCTTCTCAAACCGTTGTTCGAGTGTTGAGCCCACAGAGAAACCTAAACAAGAGTTCAACGGGGAACAGGGAATCCCCCAGCGAACCCTCCGACAAGCAAGTTAAAAAAGTGAAAATGATGGGGCGTAGAGATAGGGTGGTGATAGAGAACCTAACCTTCTCTCTGTCTTAGAAGGCTGCTTATATCTTCTGTTTATCATTTCTTTGTCCACTCCGAGATGTCATATTGGCTGAAAGTCCATGTTCTAGCTTGCCTTGTTTGTGGTGAGGCTATTCTGTTTTGACGTGAAGGGGTTATCGTAATAAATGCTGCAGGAGAACTCATTAATGGCTGATGTATGGTGTAATAACTCTGCAAGATCTTTGTCTGCTGATGTAGCTGGTTCTACTCTTGACAAGTGTATGATATCATTCACTGTGTTTGATTGTAATTTTTTGAATATAATTTTTTAAAATTTTTATACAATTTATTTGATTATTCTGAAAAATGAATTATATTTTCAAAAAAATAAATGAGCCATATGATTATTCACGTGATGTGGGAATAAGTAGGCTTTAGTAGTTCTGCTCCTCTTTGTTACCTTTGGCATTTGTGCAAAATAGATTACTTAAAAAAAAAATTCTGTCTCAAGCTAGTGTACAACAGAGGCTTCAGTGGACCTTCTCGTGGCTCGTGTGAGATCCAACCTGTAAAAACATACAGCCACGTATTCAAAATTTTCTAAATTTTTTATTTAAAAAAAAAAATTCATCATTTATTGATTTGATCAAAATTTCTTGACCAGCATTTATTAAATTTTTTCAATCTATATGTCTTTTCACATATTTACATTTATTGATTTGGTCAAAATTTTCTGGTCAGGATTTAAAATCCCTTCATTCAAATAATTTGACTATTTATTTAAATTTCATGGAAATTCAATGATTTTCAAAACAAATATAAACATAAATTTTTAAATCGTAAATTTGTAAAAAAAATTATGATTTCATAAATAAATTTACACATCGATTCACATTTTTTTTTAATGCCAATTTGAAATAATTGGACGTTTTTCTAAAATTACGAATTTTCTAAAATTTTGATTATTTTGAAATTTTTTACATAAATTTGCCAAGCGTACGATTTTGCAAATACAAATTTATGATTTCATTTTGTGCATAACATTTATGAAAATTTGATTATACGAAATAAATTTTGTAATGCCAATTTAGAAAAAAATAATTACGTTTTTTATGGTTGCAATGAGTGAAAATTTTATAAAAAAGTGATACAATTAATGGTAAGATATATACCCATAAATGGGTACATGCCACATTATGTTTTCGTAGGTTCAAGTATGTATATATATATGTATGTATATATACATATATCTTTTAAAAAAATGAGAGAATATTTTGATGTGTTTTTTTTTGTGTTTTTTTAATTGTTTCAATCATTAATTTGGAGGGAAATTTGAAATTGTAATGATGTATTTTTTAGAAAATCAAACAAGCATTTTTTTTCAAAAAACAGTTTTCAAATCACTTTTTCAAAAAAAAATTCAAAAAAACACAACCAAGCATGGTGATTGATTCTTGGTGTAACGTTGGGTTTTAGGAAAGTTGGGCTTTAGTATTTGAATCATGGATTGGGCCATAAGTAGTGGGCCAAAAGCTCCTACAGGCCCACTTATGTCAAGTATAAAAGAGTAGTAAATTTGTGAGGAATTACAGCCCAGTAGGCTTTTTTTATTTATAAATAAATTGAAAATTTTAAAATTTTAATTATTAATATTTATAAAATTTATCTCTGATGTATATATATATATATATATATTTGAGTAATGCTAGATCCTAAAAATTCTACCAAAACTTTTACCAAGGCTTCGTTTGGGAAGTTGCTATTTTAGTAGACTATTTTAGTTTTTGGTTATTTTAATAGGCTAAAATTTTTGTGTTTGGGAACATGATTGGATTTTTTTGTGGTTGGATGTGATGTTTGTGAGAGAAAAAGTGAAATAGTTATGGATTTGATGTGATATTTTGTCTTATTAGCTATTTTAGCCTATTTTGTCTTTTTGTGAATTTTAGCCTAAATTAAGCTATTTTTTTTCTTGCCAAACACCCCCCAAATGTCTCACATGGGTGTGAGATCTACACAACACTCAGACGTGGTAGAATTTTGGACATCTCTAACATTTTTATTTTTTTGCTTCCAATTTTACACAGAATTAATATTTCTCCTAAAAAAAAATAATAATAAATAAATCTCATTTTAAGCACTTGTGTGCGCACGCATGTTTTTTATTTTTTATTTTTATTTTTACATATATTAGATATTGTCCTCTTAAGGCATAACCTCATTTGGCCTTTGAACAAAACAAATTTTCAATTAAAGTATTCAAAAATCTCCAATGTGATTCAATCTAATGGAAAATGAAATTTTTGGTTATTCTTTTTCATCAAGACGCCGGGCAGATTCCATTCGAGCATAATCAACAAACAGAAACAGTATACGTAACAGGTTAAAAAGCGAAAAATCAAATATTATTGTGTCCTAAACCGGACGAAAGAGGTTGGAGTAAACTGCGCCTGCAAATATTTCTTCACAACAACATCCTCCACTATCCGGAATAGCTCAAGCATGAATTTCTCTTCATAGAAACCAAATCACTAGACACATTTTACCACGAATTTCAACCACTTCACCTAATTTGATAGATAAAAGAATGAACATCGTCTAACACGAGTATGTAATGCTCATCACCGACAAACTTCCCCAAGAACTGAGATTAACAAAATCTAAAAGCATGTAAATAAATGCATGGACTACGGATATTTTTTAACCCAAAGAACCCATATTTTACACTGACAAGCCTCATGGTTGGCCACAGATTTGCGATGATGTCCCTGAGACGCGGGTTCTTCTCAATAGCAAGACGGACATGATTATCAGCAGAGGGAGACGGGAAATTTCCTTTTCTTGATGACCAATGCAAGGAATGTAATGGCTCACCAGCCCATAAGAGTTCTTCTCACTCTGTCCACGATCTCATTTCTAGCTCGACTACTTGCTAATGGAAAGTCCCGGCTTTCATCCAAAAGGAATCTGTACACTTCCCACTCGCGATTTGATGTTGAATACCTTCCAATTTCAGCCTATAGACCAAAAAAAATGAGATATGATTCACTTCACACAAGCACACAAACATGATCTGTTAGAAAGAGAGATTTCACTGTTTTGGAATCTAGGAGAGAAAATAAAAGAAATGATTACATATAAGTTCAGAGAGAAAAGAAAATAAGAAAAAAGGTTGTGTTTTCTCTTCCTCTTATTAGGATAAATACGAGAGAAAAGATAATCAGTGTGTTTGGTTTGAGTTTTCTGGATTAAGTTTTTTGAAAACTGAATTTTTTTATTTTGGTTTTCGTATTCTTTTGTTTTTAGTGAATATTTTTTAAATTTTACACATTTTTTTTTTAGATGCACCTTAGTTAGATGTATCTAAAAAGTAAAAAATTTCTGAAAAAATAGTTTAAAAAATTTAATAAATACATAAAAATACAAAAAAAGTATTGAATTCTTGTATTTTTTTGTATTTTTGGTATTTAGTGAATTTTTAAAAGATTTTTTTTACAATTTTTTTACTTTTTAGGCGTATTTATGTTAGGTGTGTCTAAAAAGTAAAAAAATTGCTTAAAATATTAAAAAAATTCAGTAAAAACAAAAAAACACGGAAAATAAGAAAGTAGAATTTTCTGAAAAGTGTTTTCTGAAAAATGAAAACAAACAATGATTTTAATCATATATCTTATTACTTACCGAAAAGACACATATACCAAGCATCTTTAATGAGAAAGTAACATCATAGAAAACACGAGGCCTTCCCTTTCCAGATAACTCGACTGGATTAGCAACCAAGAGTTCGGTATCTGGGCCACGGTTGGCAATTGTAACTCGCAATGGGTGAAGCATCTCCTCCTTTAAACGAGAACATAGTGTAATCTGATGATCAGACTCTAGAATTTTTTTCCATCTGTTTTCTGTATAAATAGATCCACATTCCTGCTGCCTTCCAAACTTGGTGATATTTCTTCCATAAGCAATCTAAATGAGGAACAGCCACGCACCATATATTAGAATACTAATAATTGCACGCATACAATTATACACTGAGCATATGATATTATACAACATAGAGGCAGATTTGCAGGACACGCAATTAAGTGGCCCATCTGCAAAATTTCATTGAAAATTCACCCTGTCAAAGTGATTCAATCTAAGTGTCAAGGTTTTGAAAATTTTAAGTCTACTGTACGGCCTTAGATGCTTGTTGCCCGCTTGTATTGCAAAGCTGTGGCATAAGGCAATTACCCAATCAATGTAATTAACCCCAGACCCTGACAATAAAATAAAAAAAACAAAAAAGGACAGTCTGTTGTCACTGATAGTGGCAAATGTTTACTTCATGTAGCTTTTGCACAAAAACTTGATTACAAGGAAAAGGGAGCACTTTGCACAGTCATTTCCACTTCAATATGGGCATAACTCATTTGTTAAGGAATTACAACAAACTTGTTGAAGAGGTACCTGAATATTGCAGTCCTTTGAAGTCCTCAAAATGTCATAGACGACGTTCTTTTGATCAACACATTGTATTTGAAGCAAGGTATGAGCCGGGCTCATAAAATTATCTATTGTGACATTCGTCGTCTTTACTTTTTTCATATCGGGGCTTAGAGCTTGTGAACATGCTTTCTTATTAGACAGCTCAGAACTAAATAATTCTTCTGCAACTGCTTCTGAAAGAGATGAGAACCCTTGCTGACCTTCATATTCAGGCCCTGCAGGCTGAAGTTCACAACAGATGCAATCCTCTCCTAAAACATCACTAAGATGTTCACGCGTATCCGATTGTCTCTCTTTTGTATGTAACAGATCCCTGAAATAATACATTATCAAGTAAATTAAATTAATTATTACCAACGACAAATGATCAAAAGTTCCAAGAAATCTCACTAAGAACATGCTTATCAGTCAACCAAGTAATAAAGCATATTCAGAAGATGGAGCCATTCCAAAACCATGTTTTATTTGCAGGAAGAGAACTTCCAAGTAGTAAATCGGAAAGAACAGAATCAGGTCAACTGAGAAAGAACATAGCATTTATTCTTAAATTACATAATAAGGTTGCTCCATTGTAACCTAGTCGTCACGGGTTCAAAGTTCAAACCATGAAAACAACATGTCTGCACACAGGGGTAAGGTTGTGTACTTCTTACTCTCCCTGTATCCCACGGTGCTGGAAGTTTCGTGGACTGAAAGTGCCCTTTTAATCTGTTTAGAAAATAACCTTGCATGATATCCCTCTGTTTGTTTTAGCAGAAAACATTTTCTAACAGAAAATATTTTCCAGAGAAAACTTTTGACTTGGTTTGCCAAAATAAAATTGTTTGTTACTAGGGCGGTTGAGCATACAAAAATCTACCCCATACATACTGCAATGTCACCAGTTTGCCATGTTATTGAAACCTAATGTGATGGTCTGGTGGCTTAACACAATGTTTGCTTCAAACATGTCTATTGAGGACAACGCATCCAAAGACTTTTATTTCAGATGAAACAAACTTTAGGTTTTCCCTAATACTGCCCACTGTTGCCAGGGTGGAAATAACTAAAACTTCAATACATAAATGAATTCACCCAGAGACTTAAGACAGAACTAATCTCATTCTTTTCTTCATTACTACAATCCGCCAACCGAGTTCTTTAACAGCCCTGTTTGGAAAACTTATTTGTTGTTTATTTAGCTTAAAATTTGAAATTTCATGCTTAAGCAGTTGTACTTTGAAAATTTAGGGTGTTAGGTAAAACTTTCACCAGTTTGCCATGTTATTGAAACCTAATGTGATGGTCTGGTGGCCTAACACAATGTTTGCTTCAAACACGTCTATTGAGGACAACGCATCCAAACGCATCCAAAGACTTTATTTCAGATGAAACAAACTTTAGGTTTTCCCTAATACTAAGCCCACTGATGGAAATAACTAAAACTTCAATACCTAAATGAATTCACCCAAAGACTTAAGACAGAACTAATCTCATTCTTTCCTTCATTACTACAACCTGCCAACCGAGTTCTTTAACAGCCCTGTTTGGAAAACTTATTTGTTGTTTATTTAGCTTAAAATTAGAAATTTCATGCTTAAGCAGTTGTACTTCGAAAATTTAGGGTGTTAGGTAAAACTTTTCACGTTTTTAACTTATTTGCCTATTCAACTCAAAAGGCTATTCACCCAAAAAAAAACTCAAAAGGCTCAAAAAAAGCTATAAAAAACTACTTTTGTTAAGCTAGCTTTTCTAAAATTGCAAATAATTTTTTCTAAATGGCCTCAACATCCTGTTGTAAGTATGGATCTATGAGTATAACATAATCAATATTGTCTTAAACATTAATAACGAAAGTTAGCATTAAGGGCTGCAAAATTTATTGGTATCACACTTCATAAAACAAAGAAAGTAACATCATTGGATGCATAACCTGAATCCTATTGTGAGATCCAAGATCCAAACATAATCTAAATGAAGTAAAAGAAGCTAAATTTATTTATTTTCCATTCTCACTTTTATTTCCCTCGATAAATCCAAGATCCAAACATAGCATAATCAAATCAAACCAGGGACAGCTGACCTCTATAAACTTTCTCACAAGCTATGCCAAATCATTTCATAAATTATCACACTTCGAGAAAAAAAGGGCTCTGTACTTATGGTTAGCATGTTATCTTAGAATGCAATATTTTGGCAAGACACAGCATGCAATTTAATCACATAAGTATTTCAAATACCCAAAAATTGAACTCACATGCTATCCGTGATGAAGAAGAGATCCAAGACCTTGCCATCTGGGGTTGTCATCACTTTCACTCTTTGAATTGCAAGCTCAAGCTGACAGAGCGCTTTTGTAACATCTATGAAAAATACATATCAACATATTGAGCCACTTTAGAGGACTTGGTAAAACAAATGAATGACAAGTAATAACATTTGTAATCAGTACTCACCATGTAACAATCCTTTCCGGTCCAAGCAAAAGACCGTCAACATGTAAATTGTCGAATGTGGTGAACGGCTGGACTGTTGATTGAAATAAAATGACATCAAACATGAAGGGCACGCAGAGAATAGCCGGCTTTTCAAGCTCTCCCAATCAATCGTCAATGAGCTTGATTGTGGAACAGTCCACAATACTATGTAACACCAGTTACCATCAGTACAAAAATCTGCATTCAGAAAATATTTAAAAATATATGTTTACTGTTAAGATCCAAAATTAAAAAAAAAAAGGGCAAATAAACAGGACCTAAGAAATCAATGATGACTTCTAATATGGACAATAATAGGTATAATTAAGCACCATAAAACAAAGAAAGTTGATATCTAATAATATGCCTATAATTAAATATAGTCAAGGTTTCAAACCTAGAATCATAACTCTTCTGTGTGCTTTGAAATTTAGATTTTTAGCCAAAAAATCATTACAAGTTGTCAAATTATTATCTTTACTATTTTGCATGTCTTTTCGTAAATACCAAAACGTCGTTAAAAAAGCCAATTCCCAAACAAACACAGAGCCGAACACAACTCTCTTCCACACAGTTCTGTGATTGGATTCGAGGCAATTAGGATTTTTCCAAAATCATCAGAGACGGTCAGTTTGGTTGAGTTTTCAGGGGGAAAAAAATCAATAACTAATTTAGTGAAAGAAATGGAAAAATATATATATATATATATATTTCGTATGATTTTCTCTTTTTTTGGAGGAAATATTTTTTAAAATTCTTGTCGAACTAGTTTTAAATTTTTCAAAATAATTTCAGAAAACAAATTCTAAAAAATCAACCAAACAAACACATCCTATATATCTACAGAAAATCATTTGAATCTCAATATGATTGTCGATAAATCACATTTTGTTCCTCATATTATTTAGCAGATGTAATAAATTTTCAACTTAACTGTAACTGCATTACAAACATCACATGGTATCAGAATTCCACAATCAAATTTGTTGGGAAAAAAAAAATCGATAAATTCGTAATTGATAAGCTGTTCAATAAATATCAATATTAAAAAACAAAAACTTACAAAAAAAAATTAATAGTTATTTATCTTTTTATGGATTTGAATCTGGAGATTTGAGAATTGCAGACCTCCTTTGGTGATGCAGAGTCCGAATTCGACTACGATTCGGCAGAGGTCGCACCCGAGTCCGGCCTTGTCGGGGCAGTTCACCGTGATGACGGACGGGTCGCCCGGTTTCTTCCCTTGGTTGATCAACACGACGTCGTCCCAAGAAATGCCCATACCCGAAAACCGAATCCTTATTTTTTCCCAAACAAAACAAACCACCCGGAACTCCGCACCGGGTCGGGCTTCGTCGCCGATAATTCAATTTGCCGATAACTTCTCCGGTGAAAACCTGCTAGAACTCTCTCTCTCTCTCTCTCTCTCTCTTAACTGGTTTTCTCTCTCTATAATAAAATGAAATGAGAGAGGGAGGTTGGGTCTGCGTGATTTATAAAAGGATTTGGTTGGTCTCTCTAAATTGATCAGACAATTGAGGTGTCTGGTCCAAAAAAATTAATAGAAGGATCTTAATTATAAGAGTTTATGAAAATATGATTTGATTGAAATTTCTTTTTATCAAAATTTATTAATAATAATTTTTCGTTTAATATTTTCTCTATCGTAAAATATTAATCGCTTATTATATTTTTTATTATCTCAAAATATTAGTTCATTTTTAAAAATTAATAATTAAAATAATATGAATTTCTTATTTTATCTTTTTTTTATTAAATTTATTAACAATACAAAAAGTATAATTATAACAATTAATATTCTTAAAAAAATATACTATTAAAGAATAATTTTGAAAAATTATATTTTTTAGGTGTAATAATTATATTATAAAAAAAGTTAGATTTCTCAAAAGAAATTATTATTTTAGAGTAATTTTTTCAATAAAAAAATTCCATTTAAGACTTCGTTTGAAATGTGAGTTGGCTTTTTAACTTTTTAGTTATTTTAGACTGGGCTAAAATCATAAAAAAAAAATAGATTAAAAAGTTAATATGACAAAATATTTCATCTAAATTGTAACTATTTTATTTTTTCTTTTATAAAAATTAAAAAAATCAAAAAAATCTATGTCAAACAAAAGTAATAAACATTTCAATAAAAAATCTCAACTATCATGTAATTAAACACCAACTATTTTCATTTAGAAAAATGAGTCATACTCTCAATTTTGGAAATTCTCATAATTCTGAAATGATCTGAATTATTTATGTTTTTTTTTTTTTTTGTCTCTCACATAAAGAAAAATGTTTGAGAGTTTTAAACTATAAGCTAGGGGTGGGCGCGGGTCGATTGCGGCCACAAAACCTTCAATCCGCCATCTGTCCGCCAGATTGGCGGATTGAAGAAAATCAATCCGCATCCGTCCGCCAATCCGGCGGATGTGGATTGAGTGGATTGGCGGATGGATGCGAATCGATTTGGTGGTTTAAAATTTTATAAATTTTCAACATAATTCAACTTGTGCACTTCCTCAAAAAAAAAATAAATAAAGAAAGTATTATAGTCAATGACTTAAAAAAGTATTACAATCACTGCATGTCTTATCTAAAGAAATAAAGTTTAAAACTTTATAATATCACGATCACTGCATGCCTCATCTACATATTACAATCACAGCATGATTTATCCACATAAAGTATTACAATCTGTGATTCTTAAAATATAATAACAATTCAAACCACCAAACATATTACAATCACAGCATGATTTATCCACGTAAAGTATTACAATCTGTGATTCTTAAAATATAATAACAATTCAAACCACCAAAACCATGAACAGAGCAGTAGTAGAGATTGTATGTCTCTGTATTGTTACATCTATATATGTTTTTGAAAACAAAAACTAACCAGCATATATCATATTTTCTATTTATTATTTTTAGAGTTAGATTTAAAAACCAAAAAATATAGATAAATAATACGTTTATTTTTTTCAATTCAAAAAATATATTCAAGTTGAATTTTTTTTTTTCAACAGAATATTTAAACTCTTTTTCAATTGAAAACACAAACATAATATTTAAACAAATTGAAAACACAAAGTCTTATAAATTACTAGGGGTATTTGCGGTTTGACGGTTCGGTTGCGACCAAAGAAATTTCAAATCCGCCATCTGTCTGCCAAATTGGCGGATTGGAGAAAATCAATCCGCAACTGTCCGCTCATCATCACGCATCCGTCCAAAATGCGGCGGATTGGTTCGGTTTGGTCGATTTTGACGAATCGGTATATCCGCTGCTCACCCATACTATAAGCTTTAAAGAAGTTTTAAGTGATGGGTCTCACTTATTGATGTAATATTTTGACTTTATTTTTTTTTTTTAAAATTATCACCTCATTAATACTCAATTAATACTTCCAAATTAGAGAGATTAATGATTGTTACTCACATAAATGACCTAGATCATTTTAAAATCATGAAGGTCTTCAAATTGAATCAGAATCTCCTCGTATTTTCTCATTGCATTTTCTACTTGTAACCTCGTTGGGCCTACTTTTGGCTCAATTTTGATAATCCGAACCAATCATATTTTAAGATTTGTTTAGTATATCATATCTGTAAAAAAATAAAATTGATCAGATATCAGGAAATGTGTTTGGAAAACTCGAACTAAAATTTTTTTTTTTTTTAAATTTAATAAACAATTTTCTGAACACATACTTTTTGATATCCGATCAACTTAATTTTTTACAGATATGATATATTAAACAAATTTTAAAGTATAAACGATTCAAATTATCAAAATTGGACCGAATAGTTAACAAAATGAAATTACAAGTAGAAAAGAATCCTGATTCTTTCAAATTCCGGTGTCAATCATTGTCGTTTCATTTGAAACAAAAGAGGGTCGCCGCGTCAGGTTAAGTATGTGGAAAAATGGGGTCCACTGCCATGATAATTACACGTAAGCAAAGAGGTAGACGACGAATTAATAAAAGCAGGTGTCCGGACCTAAATTAAAAGTCCTCTGTTATGTTTTTTTTTGGCCACCGGGAGTTTAAGGCCTAGTTTGGGAAGATTAAATAAATGTATTTTTTGACTTTTTATAAAATATGGATTGGGTTTGGGTTGGGTTTAAAGTGATGTGTTAGAGAGGTGATGTGACTTAAATAAGATGATGTGACTTAAATAGGATAGTGACTTTTTAAGAGAGGTGATGTGACTTAAATAAGATGATGTGACTTAAATAGGATAGTGACTTTTTAACTTTTTGTTTTTTTTCAATAATGCCAAACTTGGCCTAAGAGTAATAGCAATCATCAAAAAAAATTATGAAATATTTTGTGAAGATTTTTTATTTTTTAATTAATGTGTGATATTTTTTTGTGTGTAATTTAATGATGAAAATTTTTTTATGATTATTTTCATAATATTTTTTTGAATAAAGATTGTGACCCCCTTTCTTCCATCCCCTTTGACCCCTTTTCTTTTTTGATTAGTCACTTTTTCTTTTTCTTTTTTTTCTTCTCCTCCAATCACCACCCGCTATGTGTGTGGAGGGTGGTGGGGGTTGAAGTTTGAAGGAGTTTAAATCACTGCTGTATTTTTTTCATGATACGTAACATTATTAGGAGTTTAATCCCTGATTGGCAATTTTTGGTCGTAGGCTTTATTTGAAAAATTGTTTCTTTTAGTTAGGTTTTTTTTTTTTGATTTTTTTAATCTGATTAAAAAATTATACAATATTTAGAAATATAATTGAATTTTTTTAATAATTAATTTGAGAATTATTTTATTTTCACACATTATTTACTCTTTATACACATCTTTCTCAACGCACATAATTAATAAATCAACAATGATTCATCCCACTAATTTTGAAGTACAAATAGACCACAAATGAGGTGGAAATTAAAAAAAAAAAAAAAAAAACACAAGAGCAAAACATCCCATAATGTGAAACCCACACCACTTTAAAGCTATTAGTGCTCCTCTTTTTAGTGGTCCCACTCATTTTTGTTCTTGTTATTGTTTTACTATTATTCTGCAAAACTAATGCTCTGGTTGATTTTGAATTTTCAAATATATATATATATTATTTTAAAATCTTTTTCCTTTGTTTTAGTAGACTTTTTAAATATTTTAATAAGTCTTTTACTTTTTATATCTACTTAATTTAGATACATTTAAAAACTAAATTATTTGTGAAAAATTCTAGAAAAAAAAAATCAATATATACAAAAAAGTGTATATGCACTAATTTTTTGCATTTTGTATGTTTTTAAAATGTATCTAAATTAGGTGAATCTAAAAAATAAAAATAATAATAATTAGAATATTAAAAATGTTCACTAAAACAAAAGAATACGAATTGAAATTCTCAAAACTCAAAACCAAACAGAGTGTAAGTTATTGTTATACTATTTTCATTATTCATTCCATATTGATTGGTGAAGAGATGGAAAATAATTTTGTTTTGGTTATCCAAATAAATTAATAAATTGGGCGCTTAACAACTGAATCAAATAATAGTTTTTGGTTTTGTACTTCCGAACCAAAAATAATTTTTTTACATGCAACTATTTTTTAAGTTGATTTTCAAGTATATGAAATATTTTTTGAAGTTGGTTTCCCTATAGGTGAAACATTTTCAAATTGGTTTTTGTGAGTGATCATTGTGATAATGAAAAAAATAATACTTCCAGGAAAGAAAAAAAAAAAATCACCTTTTTCATTGCCTAATTTGAAATGATAATTGCGACAATAGAAGAGTAGGTCTGATGCGTGTATTATTTTAAAATAAAATGTATACTGAGAATTTTTATGTAAAAAATGTGTACTAAGATTATCTAGTTTTAAGATTTGATGTGTGTGTATTGATATCCATATTGGGCATTTTGTTTAGTGGTAAATTGTAAAAAAAAAAAAATTAATTCATTAAGCGTGTACAAAGAGAACAAATAGTGTGTGGAAATAGAATTACTATGATTTGATGATTTTAGCCTATTTTTTTTCTTTGGTGGCTATTTTAGCCTCCAACCCTTTCCCCAAACAGGGCCTTAAAAAGTTAGGGATAGAGTTGTGTAAAATATCACATAATTTGTTAAAATCGCTTAATTTGCACCAATTATTAATTGGGAGTTAGTTTGATGTGTGGTTTGAAATTTGTAATCCATCTTTGAAATTATCACACTCTGCTATAGTTAATACATATATATTTTTTATTTTTAATAAAATATCAAAATAAAAATCAATGTGAAAAAAATTTAAGATATGAAAGTTGTTGTAAATTAGTGTTAGATATATGGAAAATATTATGCAAATTAGTATTATATATTATGAAAATGTATGATAATTGTTTAATATTATTTTTCAATCAACTAATAAATTGAAACCATCTCAATTATGATTTAATTATTTGTCAATCCACTATTTGGTTTATAATTTAACATTCAAACCACACTCC